TTAGAAGGTCTTTAAATTTTCCAAAAATGAGAAATAATTTTATCTTTTTTAAACTATACAAATTTATAATTGTACTCCAATGGATAACAATAACCCTATTTAATAAGGAATGTTTTGTATTATTTGAAAATTGGAAGGACTTTTTAAAAATATTTTAAACTTTTTAAGACTAAATTAAATTGAGTAAATGTTTATCAAAAAAAAAAATTGAGTAATTTTTTTTTTTTTTTTGGATAAATCACAGTTATTCTCCTCGAGAGACAATTCTATTTGGGACAGATTCATAGTTAAAACTTTAAATCCCTTCAAAAGATGATACTCGGGTGGGTTAGTAAATATAATCTTTTTAACAGCTCTAAATGTAAGGTAGGCTCTGTTTTTTTTTCTTTTTTGGAAATAAACATTGATGGAATTATTACAGCGGGTGCATTCTTTTTTTCTTTTTTTTGGTATAACCTGGAGGTATCCACATTCAACCTCCTCCGGTCACATTGCCCTCGGGGTACGACCCTATAGGCTAGCCCCTTATTGAAACATGGGGTGCATTGAGCTTCGCTACCGGAAGAAAGATGAGACTAATCCCCCAATCGAGGAGGGAGGCATATCCTCTGACCCCCAAAGATTTTTCAAGAATTTGCTTGAGGCAGAGTTTGAACTCCTGACTCAAACAAACCCTTGGAACCTCAGTTGACAAGTAGGGTGCATTCTTTTTTTGGTAACAACAGCGGGTGCATTCTCCTTAATGCCTGTCACCAATCTAGGCCTTATCAAGTGCTGCCCAAACCCAATTGCAACTCTTCCCAAGGCCACATCAGAACATTGTCCAAAATGAACAATTGGTTATACCCATCAACTTGGTCTACTCTAGCCCACCTAGATGATATTAACACTAATCCCTGCTGCTCTTTTCCCATGCCCATTAATTCGAAGATATTCAAGAAAAATTCTTATGTGCTCTATAATAATTTAATAAAAATAAAAATATACATAATTTGAATTTATGTTTCAAATTAAATTTATTTTTTGTATGATAAAATTTAATTTTGATGCATTGAGAGTGTAAAACTTATTGATATTACTTACTATCTAATCATGTATCATCAAATTATTAAAAAAAATTACTATCACAACTATCCAAAAAGTTTCGATTCTAAATGTAGTATCAATACATCATTGAATAATATTTCTAATAAACTCCACACGAACAACATCATTGAATAATGAGTTTTTGTATGATTTTTTTTTTCAATCATAATTTAATCACGCTTTAATTATAAATTTAATTAGTTGAACCGATCCGATCATTACCCAAAAATCTCGTAAGTTTAATTTTTAAAGCATTGCTTTCTCCTATGCCCGGTGATACGCCCAGTTGGTATATATAGGAATCATTCCTTACTTACAAACCAAGGTTAGCAGAGGGCACTCCACTGAATCATAAAATACCATATATAAATTTCTATTTATGCTTAAAAGTGTTTATCTCGTGGAAAGCTTATTGTTTTCCACTTTTATGGGCGTTTGTTTCCTTATTTGATGAAATAAGGCAATCCATAGTGAACGTGATTATTAGAAACCCAATATATAACTCAAAGGGGGTGTAATAGTTATTATAGACTATGAAGCACCGACACTTCAAAAACTCTAACGTGTCGTGTCTGACACTTCTCAACACTCCCCGACACTCTAATACGCATTATAGAATTCAAGAAAAGGTTTAAAGGTTGCGTTGCGTTGAGTTTTTAGTTCCAACTATTAAATTCGTTGGATTATGATTACTATTTTATTGAGTTTAATATAAATATTTGGGATATCTTATGTTTCTTTGCAAAATTGATGAATGTTATAAGTTTAGTTTCATTTTATGTTAAATTATTGAATATTAAATATATTATACACTACATAAATTAAAAATATTATTTAATATCAAAACGTGTCCTAACGTGTTGAAATCTAACATTTTTTAGAATTAACGTGTCGGAGTGTCGTGTCGTATCGTGTCACGTGTCCCGTGTCAGTATCGGTGCTACATAGATTATAAGGGTGCCTAGGGCATCAATTCAATGGTGAAAACCAACACTGTCGGAGGTGGCCCCAGTTACAAAGCGTATACAAAAAAACGGGGGAGGGATGCGATCACTATGGTGGCTTCTCAAGTTGGCAGTATAAGGCTCATAAAGATCTGATCCCTCTTGTGGTGAGGAGGGGGTATATATAGAAGTATGCAAAATAACCAAAAAACTGAATTGAACCATGAATCGAACCCGAATCGCTCTTAAAATAACTGGTTTTTAAAAACTGATTCATGAACCGAACCAGTTTTTAAAGAACCAGTTCATGAACCGAACCGGTTTTAGAACTAATTTAAGAACCGAACCATTCCGAATCGATTTTAGAACTAGTTTAAGAACCGAACCATTTCGAACCGAACCGTTTTCAAACCAAACTAAATTGATTTTATAACTTTATTTTTAAAATTTTAATTTTTTTTCTTTTCAAAAGAGGGTCGACCCGAACCGGTTCCGAACAGAACCAAACCATTTCCGAACCAAACCAAACCACTTCCGAATCGAACCATTTTTGAAATGAACCAAACCACTTCCGAACCGAACCATTTAAACCAATTCGGTTCGGTTTTTCAAAAAATCCGGTTCGGGTTGATCCATACACATCCCTAGGTATATATAGGTTCCAATATAGTGGGAGGATGTGTCAAGCCAACTATTATGAGGGGAGTTATAACTAGCCTAGCTCTGCTGAGGCAAGGCCCCTTATAGTTGTTGCTATGCTGACAACAGCTTCTATGTGAGGGAAAAGTGGAGGGAATGATTACAAGGTGGTATATTGGGTGTCTTTGGAGGCAAAAAGGAGGAGGGAGTCCTTCAACGTAAGACGTTTTGGTGTCTTATGTTGGAAAGATGGTCTATTTTGCAGGGGATGGTAATGATATCTGCAAGATAATGGGTTTAGGGCTGAAGCGAGTTAGGTCTTTAGGATTGAGCCTACCTTATTGGGTTGATGCATTGGACTGGGCAGAACAAATAGGATTTTTTTCTTACTCCTAATAATTGAAGTAAGAAATTTCTTCTTTTATGGTAAAGGAATACATTTTACATCAGTATGGAATATGGATACATTACTTTTCAAAACTTCACTTTTTTTTTAATATTTCAATCGGTTCATCGCTTCGTGACTAGTTCGATTCGGGACGGGTCTCAAGATTAAGGCTTTAAGCCCCTCGTAAAGATCATACTAGGGAGGATCGAACACATGCTCTTACCCCTACCAGCTCAATTTCCTGGCGTCAACTAAGCTACCATCATTTGATTCAAAACTTAACCTTTTAGCATCTAAAAAATAGGATTAGTGTTTCTCATGTTGTAGGATATAATTTTATCTCATACAACATATAAAAGTATATGGGATCCATATGTGCCCATATAAAGAGTAAGGAGAGAAAAAGAAAATATGAACCACACATACTTTTATATGTATGCAAGAAATAAAATTATTATCTCCTCAATATAAGGAACATTTTTCCCCTAAAAAATGCCATTTATATAACAAATAATATTTGGATATTTGGCCATATGCTTCCAACTAAGAGTTTGTTTGTTATCGAAAATTGCTTTTATGATCAACATAGTGACTCTTAGTTTGTGGTAGCGGCCATGCCCTTCGTTTGTAATTTAAGGCAATCTTATTGTTAACAATAAAAATAAAAATTAGCAGAAAGCAAAGCGTGGGTTAGTTAGTGGGGTTTAACTTTTCACCTTCGAATCTCGTGTGTACATAGAGGGTCCACCGGCCGCGACCACACAACATCTGCTGAAATATTATAATTTAAAAAATATTGCAAAGTGGAACCGGAAACCTTTGATTGGTAATGTTGTTATTAATCCGATAAGGATATTCCCCATGCCAAAAGCCTAATTAAACTGGCAACTTTCTCTCCAAACACCCCTTTCTCGCTAAATTAATCATTTAATTATTTAGTGTATTTTTTTTATATTACCATCAAAAGCATTATGATATTATTAAAATTGATTTATCAGACGTATGTGGCAATGACAAACTCTTTTATGACAATATATAATCTATCATGATATAAAAAATTTTAAATTGGAAATTAAAATTAAATTCGAAATTAATCTCATGCAGTCAACTAATTCTTGCATTTAATTATGTTTACTTTTGCAGTTTTGCTACCACATATTATGTTTGATTTGTTAACATAATTTATTAATTAATCCATGATCAGTTAATTTATAGTTATCGTTAATTATCCATTATTGGATTACTGATTTTGGAGAATATATAATAACATGCTGACTTTATATGGTACAGATGAAGTGCGGAATTGCAAATCTGCAGTGGGGACTTGTATTATTTGTACTTTTGTTTTAATCAACCAAATTAATCTACCTAACATGTACATATTCTATTCCAAAGTTCATGCACTTGATTTTGTACATAATCTCATGAATTGGCCAACGAACCAGGTAGGACAAAAACACATGTCCATAGGCGTGCACCGAAGCTTACGTGCGTGAGCCTGAGTTTAACCTAACATGGGTATATAAATTAAGATTTTATACAAAGTTCAAATTTAAATATGAGAAGTGGGCACCAAAAAGCTAGAGACAAAAAAAACACATTCTATTATTAATGTGAATTTTGTCTACTATCATATAGTATGGAAGCCTAGTTTATTGATATTCTGATAAAGAACATTCCCGCTTTCCAATCTAACTTTCTTTTTCTCTCTTTCCACCTCCTTTTTTCTATTCCCAGCATATAAAATGTTTATGATTATGAAGTTTTTGCCAAACCTTTGTTCTTGTAGTGTTTGTGTTATTACTTCTCGTTGGTTGGACTGTCTTGCCATATATGTATAGATATCTTGTATACCTTTTTTAGCTTTGAGCTTCCTTTTTTTAACTTTATTTCTTAAAGCATAACTCAAACAGCTCCTTCAACAAGATCACATTTTCTTGAATATGGCATTCAAGGAGTTTATAATCCGAAGCTATGAGAGTCAATCTGATAGAGATCAGGTGGAAAATCTTGAGAGAAGATGCAAGGTAGGGCCATCAGAAAGCGTGTTAGACACTATGGGTGACCCCATCTGTAGGATTCGTAACAGTCCCATGTACATGATGCTGGTATACTATACTATACTATACTATACTATATGCTATGGCACTATAAAAACTACTTAAATAAGTACTCTTCATGATTTCCTCTTTTCTTTTCCATGGTTCCCAATTAAATTAATCTTCATTGTCCTAGTCTTATTCTTCTTGCAATTGTTCTTTGATAATGACCAATTTGGTGTTAGGTAGCAGAGCTGGACAATGAATTGGTTGGTGTCATTCAAGGCTCAATAAAAGTGGTCACAGTTCATCCTCCAAAGGATTTGGCAAAGGTGGGCTATGTCCTAGGCCTGAGGGTTGCTCCACATATTCGACGAAAAGGCATTGGTTCAAGCCTAGTGCAAAGGCTGGAAGAATGGTTCACTTCCAATGATGTGGACTATGCATATGTGGCTACAGAGAAAGACAACCATGCCTCAGTCACTCTGTTTATGAACAAGTTTGGCTACACCAAGTTTAGGACTCCGGTTATACTTGTAAACCCTGTAAATCACCACTCATTTCGAATCTCATCCAACATTGAGATAGCTAGGCTAAAGGTTGAAAAAGCTGAATCCCTCTATAGAAGATTCATGGGCTCCACTGAGTTCTTCCCTAAAGACATAGAAAATATACTTAGGAACAAGCTAAGCTTGGGGACATGGGTGGCTTATTTCAAAGATGAGAATAATTCTTGGGGAGATTTTGGGTCCAATGGACATGTCCCGTGTAGTTGGGCTATGCTTAGTGTATGGAATAGTGGGGAAATTTTCAAGCTAAGGCTAGGGAAAGCACCTTTTTCTTGCTTGTTATTCACAAAGAGTTGGAGGTTGATTAATAAAATCTTCCCATGCTTGAAATTTCCCACCTTTCCTAATTTCTTCAATCCATTTGGGTTCTACTTCATGTATGGGGTTTACCAGGAAGGGGCATTCTCTGGGAAGCTGGTGAGCGCCCTGTGCCAGTTTGTGCACAACATGGCTGCAAAGTCTAAGGGTGATAACTGCAAGATCATTGTGACTGAAGTTGGAGAACAAGATGAGCTCAATCATCATATTCCACATTGGAAATTGCTCTCATGCCCGGACTTGTGGTGCATAAAAGCCTTGAAAAATGAAGGGACAAACACATTTTGTGAATTAACCAACACCCCTCCAAGAGCTCTCTTTGTAGACCCAAGAGAGGTCTAGAGTGCTATGAGCTCAAGAAAAAGAAAAAATAGAGTAAAGGAAGTAATAAAATGGGGACCCAAGAAAAGTTTCAAAATATCCGGACTTTAGTTTTAATTTCTTTTATTTCCTTAACTTTGCCTAAGAACCAAACCCCACTTCAGATATTGTCTGATAAGTCCATCCATCTCTTGTGGTGGGGTTTCCTCTAGTTCATTTCACATCAGTTTATGGAAATCGCAAAAAGATTTCCATAATTAGGTGCCATCCTTTGTGTCCTCGTTAGCAACTACATCCTGTGATTCATGATTCCGACTAATCAATAAGGCCGGTGGTCCAAACTTTGTCCCTTCCCCTAAGGCAAAAAATTTAGTTGGACCCTATTCCCTTTGTCGCATCACATCTAGATGATCTCCAAAACATGTCAGAAAAGAGATTTTTTTTTAGCCATTTTATGTGATCAAGAAATTAACCATTCTATTAAATTCAGAGTTAGACTACTTAATCTGTTTAAGATAAAGAAAAATTCAGCAGTTGAAGTCTCAGCTGGTTATCTCCTTCATTTGTTATGGAGCATTGTCCCTAATTTTATGAGGATTATTGCTTGTTTAAAATTTACTCTAGTTTATGGGGATTAACAATCGGATTGGATTTTCACCAGCCAATGACAATGTTAGACTTAATTGCAGATACTTAGTTAAGGGATAGCTACAACCAGAAAAAGCTAGTTGGAATGATAAAACTAAGGATTTATATGAATAAAGACACTCTGATTTTGCTAATTCTATTTGGCATGATAATACTAATGACGAAGTATAAAATAAGGATCAAGATCAGAATTAGATATTTTGATGACAAAAAATTTATTTTTGGTCTTCCCCCTGGTATATACATGGAATACTAAAGTTGACCTCCCAATACTGCATTTTTTATGGACTCAAACTACTGCATTGCTAAGCTTCTCAACCTAAATTTCCTTGCTACTTAAAACCATCATATTTTGGTTGGTGAAGATTTTTTAAAGGAAAGCCCTTAAACTGTTTTTTTTTCTAAAAAAAAGAAGAAGTTAGTATGACCTCCTTATATTTTGGCAACGAAAAGGCCTCATATTAATTAAAAGCAAATCAAGGATGATAAATATGATAGAATAGAACGGGTATGATAGTAAACCTTTTCGTATAGGGTTTATTATTTGTCATTTAAAAGGATGGTCCTTTTAGATGAATGTGATGTATTTTTTTGAATTTTAAATTACAAATTTTTTCCTCCACTCTCTCTTCTCCAAGTTTGTTCCTTTGTCTCTCTTAAAAAGATATAAAAGGATACACACTTTTCCTTTTCGTATATAGGAAAACAATTCTTCTTTGATTTCACCAATTTCTCTAACCCCTAGGCCATACATGGGCTAGGGAACAAGGCTTTTTTTTCTGTGACCCTTGATCATATGTACTATTACTATGGAACAACACTGCCAGCCCAAGGATTTATCTTGCATTATGTGAACTTCAACGGGTCTTATTTGGGCCAGACGTTGAACTGGTTGAAGCCTCCAACCCGAATATCTTTTATTTTCACTCCTGTCAGTGTAATTTTTACACAGTTAAACGTACATAACCGGTAAATACCGGTGTATAAGTTTATTGTAAGCAATCTTATTCTGAGGTGGTTTTTCAGATATCAATTTATAACCTTCCGATGACTAAGAGCAAACTTACTGTTGTTACAATACTCATCCTTAATAAAATGCACATAAACACTAAAATTTGAAGAAGTGTTTTTAAGTTATGAATTAATATAAAATCATTTTCTTTGATTATTATTATTTTATATTTATGTATACTCAATCTCTGCTATGCTGAAACTCAATAATTAAACGGTTCGGTATTGTAAATCGACCCGAACTGAATTAATAAATGTCAATTAAAGAACTGAAACTAAGGTTTTCCCTAGAGATGAATGCATATGATTAATACAATGAAATGGAGTGATGTAAGGTGAGAGTGAAAAGGTGAGATTACGAAATCCCTCTTATTAAGAGTTTTAGCATAATTTCACGGTTATGATTTTGCAGTTTTATTTTTTTATTTTATCTTATATAATGATCATACATACTATTTAAATTTCTTAACTTTAGACCGCAATCTTAATGACTTGATTATGAGAACCCACGTGGTATCAAAACATCCTACTATACAGTAAATTGAACACGGACATATTTGTCTACATTAATGCTGACTTTTGTGGGGTGAACCATATCATTTTGGCAAGTGAACTTCTGTGTTAGAAAGTTACTCAGAATACATGGTAAAGAGTGGCGTGTTCTTGATTTGTCAATTGTGACGCGCTTTGTATTTGCCCCCAATTAATGGTTTAGCTAAACCTTACACTGAATTTTTTCAAATGACCTAATTTTTTTTTCTGGGGTAAACAAAATGACCTAATTTAAACAAAAAGTAAAGATTAACAAAAATATTAAAATTTAATATTCACAAAAAAAGGAATACAACAAATATTCACTAAGCAGGTATTATTAGGAAAAGTTCTGCAAAAATAGTGAATAATAATAAGAATAAGAAAAGTAAAAATTAAAACCAAATTAAAATGAAAAAAAAATGAAACAATAATGAATATAGGCAGTGTTTGATTCAAGTTTTTGGTTGAGATTTTCATCCATCTCAGTTTGGAAATTGATGTTGTCTTTGTTTGATAAAGGGTTTATAAAAATTTATCCACCAAACTCCTTTGCCTAGCAATTCAAAATCAAATGAAAAAATGCACAAAATGGACTGTTGAAGTTTACTAACTTGAATGTAGTATTTGCATATAATTGGGTAAGTGGGAAAAGTTGACGAAAATTATGCCAATACTACCCTCTTTTAACCCAATTTTCTGGTAAAAATTTTGCCAACCAAATAATTTTTTTTAACTTTCCTACCAAACTCATTTTTCTATCATATTCCTGATAATTGCATTTATCTAATAAAAAAATATCTCCTCTACAAAACGCCTTCGTAGAGAATTTCAAAAGAAGTCATTAAAACTTTTCATCAAATAATTGTAAATATTAAATCATTGTAAGTACTAGTTCCAAAACAAAATAAAAGAAATACAACACAAACGAATAATTGGAAAATGAATGAAGGAAATTTTTATTGCAAATTCTTAACAGACTCAAACCAGAGTTTGCTCCAAGTTGTAGACGAGTGCTACTGATTGTACTTAGTTGTTCCTCTCTTCGTGCCTTTGTTTACTTCCTTGTGCCTGTCTGTCCAAATTAAATCAAATTAAAATAGATTGGAATAATTGATTTTTCTCACTCCCCCCTCCCTTGTTTCCGGCTCCAATTGAATATCTGAATCAAGGCAGTAATAAGAGAGAGAATGAATAAATAATATTTTTTCCATTTCCATATTATCATATTATGGCTGCACATGAAAACTATATTTGGCAAAAAAATATTCTATTAAGAACTCTATTCTCTCCCTTTCTTTCATCCTCAATTTTCCTTCTTCTTTTTTTGATTATTTTTCATAAATGACGATATTAATAAAAATATAATAATAATAAAATGAACCAGGTTAAAATAGAGTGTTCATTTGTGTTATGGATCTATGTAAGATCCACCATCTCAACAGTAATCACTTGACAGCTAAACAAGGAGTCAGTTGAGCCTATTCAGTAGGAGGTCCAAATTAGTCAAACTCTAAAGAAAAATTCTATAAATAAAAGATGAAGACTATATGTATGGACTAATCTCTCTATTTTATAATAACGTAATCACTGTGCACACACATCACTGCCTTTGGCTACGGCCTCTTAATTGTGTACGGTGATTCGCTACTTCAAGATATCTAAATCCATGGATACCTAGAGAGTGTTGACAATTCACACCAAACCAGAGTCACTGAAATGGAGAAATACTGGCATATATATGGAGATGACGTGATACGTTTAGATAAGCAAAGCTATAAACAGAAAGAGAAGAAACAGAATGAGAGAAATCGAGAGTGGTCTGTACTCTGTAATTGAAAGTGCTAATATGTATATATCCTCAGTTATAGTGACGACGCATCCATGTAATGCTAGACAACACATTGATCATTAAAATAGTAATAGTAATTATAATAATAATAATTTTGCATATAAAACAATAATTTTATATGAGATTTTTTTTTCTAACATTAGAAGACATCAGTTGATCTGTACACCAAAAGAAAAATTAGTTGACTAAAAATAACAAAAATAAGACTTTTAATTGTCATTCAATTTTATTTTTCAAAAAAAGAAAATCGGAAACATGCTATCGATGTGTCTATAAATATTGTACAGTTGGGATCTATAAGCTCACTATGTTTCCTTCAGAAATGAGTCACTATATGGATAATACCCTTAATTAGCACAAGTACAGATCAAGCTAAGAGGTACTTTGCCAAGTAGAAGCAAGCAATCAATAATGGATAAGTAAGTGATAATATGACTCAAAGTAAATGAGAAGAATAACGATACATAAGACCCCTTTATGGTGTGCCCATGGGGCTATTTATAAGGGAGGGTGGTGTGCACCTGGTGTGGGTTGGTGAGAAGGGAGTCAACCCTCCTTGGGATTCACTATCAGTGGCAGTGTTGGGCGTGACAGACGCTGCTGTTGTAGCAGCGCTACATCCTCTGTACCCGATGGTGTCAGCGTGGGGCAAAGAGGGCAGTTTCTCCTTATGGCATCTAGAGCAACTACCTTTGGGGGTTATGATTCCAAGGTAGGACATTTTGGTGCTTCCTCTTGGAAAAGTCGCCCTGTTAAAAGTTGGGGTATCATCCTAGCTAATAGGGCTGACGTGGATATTGAGTTGAGATTGGGCCCTGATCTTTGAGCCATAGAGTTAACGGGCCATCCGCAACAAATATTCTTATCCTATCTCTGACCAAAATATTGCCATGATGGTTTAATGTGGAAAATATTCTCCTACGTCATCAAACAATCCCAAGATTACTTTCTTAAGTACAAACAAAGATACTTCCTAACTCAAAAGCATGAGAATCGTGATCGAATCCCTCAACTTATTGAGTTTAACTTAATAAAGCTTGGACATATTCTTTGATAACTTGGTTTAATTTATTGAGATCATTTTTTACGACCGTTCAGTTCAAATTACATTACTAATTGATATTTATCAAAATAATTTTGACTTTCCAATAGCCAATAATTACGTTAAGCATTTGATTATTAACATATATCATTAAAATGATAAACTGAAGAGGTCATGTAATTGTTTGAAAAAAGATGGAGGGAAAGAAAGTATTGTTAGGGCATAAAATCTTTGGATAAACTTCTAAAAATATACGAGTGGTTAAAAATAATAATAATTCACAAGTGATGGCATTTCGTAATCTAAATCAAACTATGAGGTATTAATGACTTCTTATTTTCTAGCTTAATTACTTTTATGCTTTCACAGTGCATGAAAGGTTAAATACTTTACAAAATGCTTCACACGGTGCTGATATCTTATTTTCCGGCTAATTAAACGCGATGGTCATAATTCCAAGCTTAATCATCAAATTAAGCAGTGATATTTTTTTTGAAAAACTTATTAACTTATAATAAATAAAACTGATTTACCAAATCAGCCAATAATAGAAAATATATCGAATATGATTACCAATATATATATACATAGAGAGAGGGGTATGATCCTTTGACACCTCATTTGAGAGCTGTTAGATAAAAAAGATCAATGGTGTCACATGCTTACAAATCAGAGTCGTTAATCTTTTTTGATCTAATGACTCTCAAATGAGATGTCAAATTTCGAATTTGACACTGGTGTCAAAGAATTCAATCTCTCTCTCTCTTTATATTTATATATATATATATATATATATATGGGCTTATCATTTCTGCAGCCACCGTAGATAACACTTTGTACAGCTGACACAGATAAGTGGGTCCCACGGCGTTTTAAAAAAAAAAACAAGGATCCGGTGCGGATCCTGGCTAGTTGTAGGTGCAGCGGCTGCAGAAATCATTTTGCCAATATATATATATATATATATATATATATATATATATATATATAGACACACATTATTTTTATTTGTTAAAAATAAATAAATAAAACCAATGAAATGAAAGTTAAAATGACTAGTTTGCATCTATGTTGCACTGACATTTCAAAAAATTCGACATTCCCCGATATCCCAATACTTTGGCGCGTTCCGACATCATTAATATTTATAGTTTCATTACATATTATGAAAAAATTGATCGATATTTTACCAAACTGATATAATAAAAATTTAAAATGGATATCGAATAAATCTAATTGGAGTGAATAAGAGATTTTCAATTTGAAAATATAATAATAAATATTTACATTTTATGTTTTTTTTTTTTTATAGACACATTTTATGTTTCTTTGCAAAATTGATGATATTATAAGTTTAGTTTCATTTTTTTTATGAATTATTGAATATTAAATATAATATACGTCGCATATATTTAAAATATTATTTAATCTCAAAACGTAGTCTAATGTATCAAAATCTAATTTTTTTTTAAATTAACGTATCAAAGTGTCTTATCATATCTCATGTCTCATATCGGTGTCGATACAACATAAGTTTGCACATAAAAATAAAAATACAAATTAAAGATATGATTAACGAGTGCCATTAAACAAAAGTTATTCTACGCTTCAAGTTATTTTATGCTCTGAGTATCATGTATGATTCGTGTTTATTGTAATTTTATTTTTAAAATTATGCTTAAAATTGTAGAGATTTACCACATACCTTAAATTTTGTGTTTATTATTGTTTTTAATTTTGGTTTATCATTGATTTGAGGATTTTGTTGATATGTTCTTTTAGAATATAAGTTAAGGAAAAATAATATTTATTACTTTTTTTTTTTGGAAATATTCCAATTTGTAAGTTTATCATTGATTTGGAAATATTTATTACTTTTCATTCAACCATTTTAATTACTTACAAATATTTATTTAAAAAAAATACATATTTGTACTTTTTTTTTAACATTTTTTTTAAAACTTTAACCTGTGTCCTAATGACTAGGGATGTAATAGAACATACCGAACTTTGACCTAAATAAAACAGACTGGACATCTATTTTTAAAAAGTAAAAAGTATTATTCGGCTGATTGTCTTATTTAAGCCTTAACATAAGTTCTAAGAAACCTTAAAACTTCTAAGCCTATTTAGCATTTTAGGTCTTCTAGACCAATCATTCCAAACATATTAGACTATTAAAAGGCAAAGAAAATGATTAAAGCACATCATTGGAAAAATAATAATAAAATTGAAATAATATTTTTGACAGATAAAAAAAAGTTTAAGTATGTAAACTTTTTATTATTTTTCCTTTTTTAATTTTAATTTTCAACTCAAATATATTAATTTTGATTGAGTTGGTTTGGTTTTAAATACCCTCACGAAAATCATTTGACCAAATGACAGATAGATCTTATTAACGAGTGCCGTAGAGTTACTATCCACTTTTCTCCACCACCAAAATCCTTAACACTTCTCTCTTTCTCTCTCTTTCTCTCTCTCTCTCTCTCTCTCTCTCCTCATACCAATACTATACACCGTAGATGGCGACGGCGTGCACGACCGACTTGGCTCGAGCGGCGGCGTGCAGGGACGGCGCGGCGGCGGCGCACCTAAAAGTAATATCGATCTTCGTCATCTTCTTCACAAGCATGGTGGGCATGTCGTCGCCGGTGTTGATGGCACGTATTTTCCGGGGAAAACCGCTCTACGACAGGGCCGTGGTAGTGATCAAATGCTTCGCCGCCGGCGTCATCTTGTCAACCTCCCTCGTCCACGTGCTCCCTGACGCGTTCGCCGCACTCGCCGACTGCCACGTGGCGTCACGCCACCCCTGGAAGGACTTCCCCTTCGCGGGGCTCGTGACCCTGATTGGAGCCCTGCTGGCACTGCTGGTGGACCTCGCCGCCAGCTCCCACGTGGAGCACGCGCAGTACGCGCCGGTGGTGACTCAGGAAAAGGAGAGTGTGGCTGAGTCGAGAATCGAGCTCGGAGGTGGTGGTGGTTGCCACGGTGGCGGCGGTGGAGAAGGAGGAAGAGGAAGCAGTGGTGAAGGTGAAAGGGTTGAAGAGTTGATAAGGTTGAAGCAGAGGCTGGTTTCTCAGGTGCTAGAGATTGGGATAATATTTCATTCAGTGATCATTGGGGTTACGATGGGAATGTCTCAGAACGTTTGCACCATTAGGCCTCTCGTTGCTGCTTTGGCATTTCATCAAATATTTGAAGGGATGGGTCTCGGTGGCTGCGTCGCTCAGGTCATTTCTTTCTTCTCTTTTCTTTCCTTCATGCTCCTCCTCCTCCTCCTCGTTTATCATTTGATCCTAATTAACACTTGGTAAAAACAATATTAAAAAATTAAGTTGAATTTAAACTGAAACTATCCGGGATAAGATTTTTTAATTGGGTTTCAGAAATTGAAGTGAATTTTGCTTTGTTCTTTTTTCCAAGGTAAGCTTAACTTATCTTAGGATAACTAGTTGAAATATATTATCAAAATTATTAGTGCTCATTTGTCTTTAATATTCTTCTTGTTTTCTAAATTATACCTATTATTTTTGTTAATAAGGGCTAGTTTGGGGAGTTTTTCTTTTTTTTTTTTTCTTTTTAATCTCTAACCTTCTGTTTTTGGGTTGTGCTTCATGCATGAGCACAACAAAATGCTCTGTTTTTAACGTATTTTTTATGACCTTTTATTGTCTCAAATCAGACGAAGATAATAAGAAAGGGTAATAAACAGATATTTTCGTTTGTTGTTCATTGGTTATTGCTTCGGTAAGCTTGAGTGAATATATTAGGAGAGAAAAAAAGAGGTTAGAGTGCTTAAGGTTATAATTGTAAATGTCACTCTAAATTCTCCAATTTGAGGAGTATTAAAATTGGGGAATTAGTGGTTTAGGTCTCCACTATAAATCACTTTACTCCGTTATTTTATTTTATTTTTAAAAATCTCAAACAATAATACAATAAAAAGTGGTAAATATAATTTGTCAAAAAAGAAGTTATAAAATAAAAGATGCAATCAAGAAGAGCCACAGGAGAACAGTGTAATTACTCAACATTTTTGTCATACTTGTCTTTGAGTGCGGTTGTATAGTCATGAAGAAAAGAACGATTGCCAATTGGAAAATGTGAATGTGTTGATTGAGATACATACTTGACCTTAGACCATGTGCCTGGCCAATCTGAATTTTATCTATAAATCAGCAGCGAAAGATGTGGTTGACATGTTGACCATAGTCTTCTAATAGCTTTTTATTTGGGCAAAAATTAATAATAAAAAGGAAAAACCGTTTAAATAATAAATATTATATGGATTCTTCACCTTTCATTACTAAATAATAACAATGCTTCAAGCGTTCACAAAGCCATTCTAAACTGAATAAATTAGTACTTGATTTGTAACGAATTGGGTTACACTCTACCTCTCAGTTATATATCTCATTTTACATTATGATAAATTAATTGTTGTGGTATCTTATGACCCATGAGCACGTTACATATATATATGTAGACACAGAAGTAAAATCCTCAAAAAAAAAAAAAACTGTTAACGGTTTTACCATAAACCATAATTAAGGAGCCTTAATATTTTTACCACAAGTAGCCAATTTTTTTTTAGTATATAAATAGGAACATGATATACTTATCACAAAAAATATTTACTATCTTTACAACTAATTTAATCACGTCAATCTAACTGTTATAATTTACTAAGAATTAATAATTATTTAATAAGTACAACCCAATAATTTCTAATAAAGTATAACCGTTATATTGACGGAAATTAATGGTGATTAAGTTAGTTGTAAGATTGGTAAACTTTTTTGGTGATAAATATATCTTTCCCCATATAAATAAGCTTAATTTTTTTTTTCTCAAACTGATTTAGTAAATAAATATAAGAATTCAAAACTGCGGGGATTCTGCCTAGGAAACATAGTTCAGTATCAAATCTATTTGGAGATCACTTGCTCTGAACCGTTTTGTTTACGCTCAAAATTATTCTTCCCACGTCATGCTTAGGTATGTCATATCTCCTATGTAAACCAAAAAGTACACATGCATGAATTCTTGAAAGATTTTATTGTGGAGAAAAATACACTTGTTTATGTTTTTCCCTAGAAAATGCCAATTCATACCCATATATGGTTGATAATGACAGGCGGGATTTAGCTTTGGAACAATGGCATACATGTGCTTCATGTTCGCAGTGACAACACCAATGGGGATAATATTGGGGATGGCATTATTTTCACTGACAGGTTTCGATGATAGTAGCCCAAATGCTTTAATCATGGAAGGGTTACTAGGTTCAATTTCTTCAGGAATACTGATTTACATGGCTCTTGTTGACCTTATAGCTCTTGATTTCTTTCACAACAAGCTTATGAATTCCAATCCACAGTTGAAAAAGACATCTTTTGTTGCCTTAACCCTTGGTTCTGCTGCAATGTCTATTCTCGCCCTTTGGGCCTGAAAATTTTTGTACCTTGCGCTCAATTATGTTAGCCATAAAAAGTTAATTTTCAATAATGTAAGATGTAAATACCGAACTTGTTAGCAAAAGAATTGAAGGGAGTATTACACCTTTGAGCTTTGTTGATTATATAAATATAGGAAAAAATGTTTCTGCGGTTAATACAGGTAAGTTATTTGGATTTATTTTCAAAACGACGTCGTTTTAGTATTGAAATCTTAAAAAATTATAAATATAAAGACTATTATAATTCTGAAATAAATTAAAATTACAAAAACACCATGATTTTTGCTTCAAAACGATGTCGTATTAGATTTATTGCAGATAACTTATCTGCATTAATCGCAAAAAAAAACGATATTGGCCTAAATATTCAATTTTAGATTCAAACTATAATAACTCGGGGGTTTATAGAGAAGCAAATAGTTCAATTGATTTTTTAACTAAAGAGGGAGCTTTTGGGAAATTATTTACTTTGTTTAATTAAGAGTTGCGGTTAGTGTTAAATTTATTGTTATTGTGTGCTCCACTACGTTTGAAAATCAAATTTAATTTAATTTTACATAATAAACTAGAGATATACAATAACTTTATATAACCTTCGTTCGCGATGTCGTTAGAAAACAAAGAAAAAGAAAAAGAAAACGGACTAATACATGAATGAAAGCAAAACTAAAAGCTCGACTAGTGGGCGGGCGTTCTGCTTTTCCTCACCATTTAACGTTATCTTCATTTCTCACTTTGGTAAAATAAAAATGCGCAAAGCTTAAAGTGATTGAACATTAATTAGCGCAAAATGTAATTGAAAGAAAGCCTAGTAGAGAATGGACTAATGCCGGAGCCACTATTTGCCAATGCAATTTAAAGTACCACTTTATTGTCTTAAAACCTATTATTTCCAATATTTGCTTCTTTGGAACTTTTGTTGAAAGTATGTACGCAGACTCCACTAAGCGTTTTTTAATTTTGGTGGAATTTGGGATTGTAGGATTATGATTCCTAGTGGTTCATGTCTTTATCTTCCATAAAGTTAATTGTATTCGTTCTTATTTTTCTTTTCCTTTTAATGATCCATCTTCTTCCAAATTGGGGGACTGTTGAATGACGCTTTAATAAAAAGAAAACGCAGATTTCGGTTCAATAAAGAATATGATGACTTTACTGAAGGAAAAAATTGTATGGAAGATAATACAAAAATAAAATAAAATAAAATTCCATGCACGTCTCTTTGTTAAACCCACCACCACCTTCTAATTAATGTGGTTTAAGACAAGTTACATTGGACAATCAATAAAGATAGTAGGATCGTGAATCAGTTGCTGAAAAAAGAAATAGATTAAAAATACAAACAAAGACTGAGATTCATCAGTGGGTGCGTAGAGAGATAATCATTTTATGATATAGAGACAAGCATTATAAGGGTCTACTTAAGAAAAAAAAAAAAAAGTAACTATAATCAACGATGAGATAATTAAGGGTTTAATACATGGGAAAAATTATTCTTATGTTGCATAAGATATATTTTCTCTCCTACACACCCTTCAATAACTGTGTCACTTTTTTTTTCTTTTTTTTTTTTTTTTTTCAGGTGGTGGAGCCTACAAATTTATCTCTATGACATGAGATAACTATCTTTTTTAACATGAGATTAATAAAACCCTTAATATATATATATATATATATATATATATATATATTTATATATATAGGGAAAAGTATTTCTACAACCACTTTAGATAAGGTTATCTACAGCCACCATTTTTAACTATGTTCTCCCGAGAGAACATAGTTATAACATTAAAGTTGTTTTTTTTCTCTCTCCACGTCAGCAAAGAGGTTCTGAAAAGTAACTGGGGAGAGAGAAAAAAAAAGCAACTTTACTGTTATAACTATGTTCTCCCGGGAGAACATAGTTACAAAATGATGGTTGTAGATAACCTTATCTAAAGTGGCTGCAGAAATGTTTACCCCATATATATATGGGTCAAAATCAATTTACATCAGTGTAAGTTACACTCTTAATTTTGTCCGTTGATCACATTTATATCTAAGGGATCAATTTTTTTAGTAATATGAGTCATTGGATATAAGTGGATCAATGGTCAAACTTTTACATCGGCGTAAGAATATCCTGCTCATATATATATATATATATATATATATATATATATATATATATATATATATATGGTGAATGTTATATTTACAAAAATTTTGTTTACAAATTATACTATGTCTGACCGGTCATTCTTTAATTAAGAGTGTATGACTGACTGGTCATACTTAGTGTAATTTATAATTGATTGCTGCACATACAACAACTACAGAAATATAAATCCCATATATATATATATATATATATATATATATATATATATATATATATATATATGGGATTGGATCAACTTACACCGGTGTAAGAATAATAAATCTTACACCAAATCTTAACCGTTGATTTCCGTGCATCTAATGGTTAAGATTTATTGGGAATTAAAAAGTAATTAATGAGTGAGACCTAATAAATCTTAACCGTTAGATGTAGAAAATCAATGATTAAGATTTGGTGTAAGATTTATTATTCTTACATAAGATGATCCTGCCCCTATATATATATATATATATATATATATATATATATATATATATATATATATATATGAGGTTTATATTTCTGTAGTTGCTGTATGTGCAGCAATCAAATACTTGTCATATATATATTTGAAAATATTAAATGCGGGGAATCATAATCATACAAATGATGAAAGCATTAAATGTGAGAAATCGTAACCATACACCTGTCGTTGTTGTACGTAAAGCGGCTGCAGAAATGATTTTACCTATATATATATATAGAGGTGGGATCCTTTGACACCAGTGTCAAAATTCAAATTTGACACCTCATCTGAGAGCCATTAGATCAAAAAAGATCAATGGTGTCACATGCTTACAGATCAGAGCCGTTGATCTTTTTTAATCTAACTGCTCTCAGATGAGGTGTCAAACTTCAAATTTGACACCGGTGTCAAAGGATCTTGCCTCATATATATATATATATGAGTCAGGATCATTTTACACCAGTGTAAGTTACACTCTTAATCTTGTCCGTTAATCCCATTTATATCTAAAAAGGCTTAAATTTTTTAGTAATGTGAGTAATTGGATACAAGTGGATCAATGGTCAAGATTGAGTGTAAGACTTCTATATATATATACATACATGGGGTGAAAGTGGGTTGGGCTGAGCCAAGCTTTGCCCCGAAAAGCTCAAGCCTAAGCCAAAAAAATTTAATTTGGCCTGACCCAAGCCTAGTACGAGTCTAACTATTAGCATGACTTGGCCCGTTTATAAAAAAACAAATGGTCTGGCCTAGCCCGTTAGCCTGTTAATTTTTAACCTCCAAGCAGAACCATAAATCAACTTCACAAAATATTCAACTTCGGTTGCTAAACCAAAAATCACAATTTCAACGTCCAAACAGAATCATGAATTACAACAAAACTCGTCACAATCTGCATTTATGTCACTTTCAAAGGCAAAACATTCAAATTAAATAACATATATTTCACCATATCCAACAAATAAATCATACTATGTAAATTAAAATAACTACATGAATCCAACAAAAACATCACAATACTTGTAGTAAGTATAACCTCTTCCAAAAATCTTTTAATATATTTATATACACAATCTAACATGTTGAGATGTTGATTCCTCATATATAATTATATACCTCATATATATATATATATATATATATATATATATATAAACATTTATAAAGTGTCAAGTTGATATTATGTAGGCTTAATCTGATTACATGTAAATTGTAATAAAAATTCTTTCTGATATAAAACCATCACGATCAACCATCAAACACTGAATAGTGAGAGCGTGACCGGACTGTTGTAACAAAAGACATTCATTTTTAACAAAGGCCGCGCGTTATTTAATAAATGAGGATCCTAACGCTCTAGACACAAACAAATATCACAGGATTATTTATAATCATTAAATTTGATTTTGTATGCGAACCGAAAAGAAGAATTGAATCGTGTTGTGTTGAATCAGAGCAATGAGCACTTTCTTATTCATATTGATAAAATATCTGTTTTTGAGTTTCTTTTAAGATATTTTTTTGGTCGATAGCCAAATACTAATATTTTTGAGATGTAGAGATTACTGAAGTAGATTTTGCCTCTGTCAACAAATATATGTTTTTCCTTAACTCTTCGAGAACCAACGCAGTAAAAGCCAAAAAAAAAGCTTTGAATTAATGAGTGTCAACCAATGAGTTACTAACCCCTTCATTTCACAAATCAACCGCAAAGGATCTGGATTTCAAACTAGTACTAACAAATTAAAACCTCTATATATCATTTTGTCAACAGGGACAATTTGTTTTCCTGCCCATAAAACTTTCTGAATACTATTTTGGAAATTTTAAACTATCTCGAAAATTTGCTGGAATACAAGCATCTTTAATAACAATGTCCTCGTGGATATAGCTTGAGTACCCTATTCGAATAATTTATGGGAAGATTGTGTATCATTTTAAAGGATGTAAAATTGTGTCATTTTAAGAAAAGAAAAAAAAAAAGATAGATAAAGGAGGAGAGAGAGTTGACAAAAAAAAATAAAGATGTGAATCTCATCTCTTTGTGAGAGTGAAATGATATAAATTATCTCATTTAAAAGATAATCATTTTTTCCATCATTTATAGCTTGAATTTACTCTGAACTATTTCAAAAACAGTAATAGGGATAATGTCATAATGATTTGATGAGGTGTGCCACTTCCAGTATAAGCTTTACTTGCTACTTTCGAGGGGCGACATAGTCAAAAGGGAGAAGCATAGGAAGCGGGAAACAGATGTTGCAATTGCAAAATGCATCTACAATTCTACATATAGAGATACATGTGGTACGTATATAATTGACAACAGAAAGGAATGGTTGAAAACGAAAAAGAAAAATCCAATTGTGAATTTGCATAGAGAAATTAACTATCTTTCAATTTGATTAAATTAATCAGTCATTTATAATTAATCACATGTTAATATAATAAAAATAATTAATTTAGTCACTTTTTTTATATGATTAGGAAATAGAAAAATACAAAACTAACAGAATAACCAAACTATAAACCGTGCTAGATACAACACATACATGTGTGTCCAATTCTAGATGTGGCAATATGAGTTGAATTTGACAGGTTAACTCGTCAATCCGTCAACATGGAATGAGTTGGATTGCACATTTCAACCCGCCAACCTGCCTCGGTGGGTTGCGGGTCAAAATGGGTTGGGGACGGGTTAGCTCGCCGAGTCATTTTATGTTTACTATTAGATAACATTTTATTTGTCATTAAACTTTTGTGATATATATTTTTTTATCTTAGCATGCCCCTGAAAAAAATAAATTTTTTTATTTATTTATGACAAAGGTTTACAAACAAACGAAGAAAAAGGAAGACAAACTCTTATAGATAAAAAGAAATAGGAATACATCATCATAAAATGCCTGGTTGATCCCTCTGCCAGCGAAGAACAAACGCGCTCATTCTTTGGGACGACATCAACTACCCACTGATCGTCAAAAGCTTTATCGGGGGTGAGGTGGATAGCAGCTGATACTTCCGCTAGCTCTCCTGGAGAACAAAACACGGACTCGGTATCCAATACCGTATCTGTTACCCAACCTAGGGATTCCTCATCCCGCAAGTTCTGCTTGGCAGGAGATTCGTCGTCAGGATCAAATTGAATAACTTTCTTCTTAGACCCGAGATTCAGCTTTTGTTTCTTCTTTTCAGTAGCGCCACGCTTCTCGCTAGCACCGCGTTTGGCCATTATTTCCTTGATCTGGGGATACATGAAATCTGATTCAGAAGAGGAAGAATCAGTAGATGAAGACGAATCAGACGAAGCAGAGACAACAAATGCAAACTTATAATTATCAAAATTCCTTTTCTTAAAAGGATACCCTGCCGGATATATTACATTCAACGGTAAGGGACTTGGACTTTTTCGACCGCGATACTCTTGCACGATAGAAGGCGAAGTATCGCGCAAAATATTTGGAGAAGATGGTTTAGGGTCCACTGTATTATCAGACATACTACTACCCCCACTACATTCAGAACTTGAGGAGGAATCACTCGAAATTATAATAGGCCTAAACATTCTAAAGGAAACCTGGGGAAACAAAGAGGAACTTTGTTGAGAAAATGTCTTTCCGCGACTTGGTTGTCGCGAAGATGATCCTAATTCGAACCTGCGAATAGTAGGGACACGGCTATCATTTACACATACTTTGGGACAGGGGGCAACACACTCTTCAGTAGGCCGCTCTTCCCTAGTTCCCAACGACCTTGACCTAGGTAACAATCTCGAAGGAGGACTGACGAGCCAGATCGTTCGAAAAATCTGATAAAGTCTGCACATTTGTGATTATTAGACATGCCTCAAGCACGAAGAAGGCAGACGAAAAAACAAAGCTGATTAAAACAGACAAGATAAATAAAGGAAGAAGAAGAACACACCTAAAATTTATACTTCGGATTAAGCAGCCACGAATAGGACGTGTCAACACCGGAAATGCAGAAAACAAGCTCTAAGGAGCAAAGAATCTCTCACAATATCAACGAAGTCTTTTCCCTCCAAACTAATAAGCTCAGTACAAATACGAAAGGTTTTCTCAAACGGATAGTCCAAAAGACACCAAAAACGTGTTGAGTAAAACGATTTTACAGGGACACGTGGCGAGAAGAGGAAGCATTTTTACTTCAAAAACCATCCACGCCTACCCTTAAACACCCACGTAACGACCCCGGCATTTAATGCTCCTGACAGTTAAACGTCTAATCCACCGTTCTCAAGCGGCTAACATTTATGATGACACTTTAAGATGATTACCGCGGCAAACAGAAAGGACATATGGGATGCAACTACCGTGCTTAAACAACATATAGCTCACAGCTTTGCTGCATGGCAAAACCGCAAGCTAGGGGGCAACTGATCCGGATAAAATATAGGCCCATGAGAGGCCCGGTGAGATACGGAGAAGCCCAAACCCATTAAGGATCCAGAGCAAGCGCAATGAACAAACATAGCGCATAAGACGCGTTGCACTCATCGCGCTGGACAAGACACGATGCCCATATCGCGGATAAAACCCCCTTAAGGAAGTAACTTAAGGCTCAAGGCAATCCCACCGCGCCTTTATTCCAATAAAAGATAGGCAGCTCCAGCTGCCGCGACTCTACGACTGGAGATAAGGCTACTCAAATCCTAGCACTGACCTACAACCCAAGCCTAGCCACTTAGAGGCCAAGCCGCCTTGCTAAGGCGGCATCATAACCACTATATAAACAAATGGTACAACACCAAGGTACGATCATTCTTTACAATAATAACATAAAAACTCCTGCCTCTGATACTGACTTAAGCATCGGAGTGTCTTCGCAGGTACCCTCCCTATTTGGATCCAACGCGCTACTACAAAGGACAGAGACAATCCAACTTCAACTTCAGGCCCAAGACCAAGAACAACAATCCACATCTCAACCGTGTGTGATTAGACTCGATACATATTAGCCAGTCCATATTGTATTTGGTCTGATCAGTTCAATAGCGTGGAGACATATTGTCAGAGAGAGTCGGACAAGAAGGCGAAGAGCATGGAGATGCATCATATCGAAGTGCATCTAAAGTGCACCCAAGTGAAATTAATATTAATTATGTGTATAGGATACCTAAATTAGTGAAAATAATTTATTTTCTTATTTTATGATCCCTATACTCAATTCAGTATTAGAAATACTTATTTTATCTCTTGTATCAGGTCTTAATACATCAATTTATATACTCCCTCGTACCCAAATTCTTTGTTGTAATTTCTAGCATGATATCGTAAGAGATCTTGTATTATACCATAATTATGTGACCTTTTCAAAATAATTGTTTTCTTAAAATTCAAACTTATATTTTCGTGTCATGTCATTGAGATCGATGACCATTTTTTCCCAATTAATCGTTAGGTTCTGTGCACAAAATTTCGGGCAACTATAATTTTTAATGGTGAATCTATCTACTAATCTACATACTAGTAATTATTGATGTTTTGTAGTCTCTGTAACATTAACTAAGCTAGGGTAGGGCCAAAGTATGCCTTAAATATTGCAAAGCAAACGTCACTGTTTATGGCCTCACTTGCAGCAGTTTGTTTGACCGGCCCATTTACAGAACTGGCATGCAGAGGAGCTAATTAACATTGACCAGAAATTATGGAAAATTGTACAGAGACTTTTGTCCTTCTTCAATGCCATCCCATTCGTTTCCTGCTACCCACAGACAGATTTTTTTGACTACTTGATCATGATTGAAACAACACAAATTTGGAGTTCAAATTTTCAGAACAATCAATTGCTGTTAAGAGTCATGAGCCATGACAGATGTGCAAATAAGGACATCCATTTGTCTTTTCTTTTGGCTTGCGGAAGCTACTATTTCTATTAGCACTTATTAATTCTTTCTTTTGGCTAATGCAAGGCTTACCAAACAGTAAGAACATAGCTTGTATCCAGAAATTTTTTTTACGCGTGCTGAAATTCAATTCCTAAAAAAAATCAGTTAGTACAATTATTTCCATAATTACATAAACAGAAACCAACCATTTTTAAAAGGGTTACATGTGAAACTCATTTTTAATTATGTACTTTTAAAAATACGTAATTGTAATATTAAAATTATTTTTTTTAACGATATACTACCCAGAAAGTAGATAAATAAAAAATGACCATGGTTCTTATATTTTTGTTTTTAAAATCAGTCAATGTCAAGTCAGTTACTGGTTTCAATGTGTACGTTGCTTGTATGAGAATCATTTAAATTTTTTAAGAGACTTATGAATTTTGTTTTTGGCTCTTGCATATGTTTGTGTGCATGTGGGTGGATGATAGGAACACTAACCAAAATATTACTCTTCACTAAGTTTTTTATCTAAATGTTACGTGAATAGTATTATTTTTCCAATCTGTCACGGGGACAAGTTCGTTACCCGATGTAGCAAATTCGGTTTGCTGACGTGTCACATTTCTAATAGACATCAAGTTCGCTACACTGGGTAACAAATTTGATTTTAACCAAGTTCGTTATCCAATGTAACGAACTCCGTACTTATTTTTTTTTTTTTTTTTAACTTAGTACTTGTTATCCACTAGAAATGTGACACGTCAGCAAATCGAGTTCGCTACAACGGATAGCGAACTTGCCCCCGTGGCGGATTGAAAAATAACACTGTTTACATGACATTTAGGTAAAAAACTTGGTGAATAGCTACATTTTGATTGACTTCCTGATTTAATACTCCTAGCTAATTGAGAAAAATATAATAAGAGAGAAAATTGACAAACCAAACAATTTAACAAAAAATGCATAACCAAGCCAACAAAATAATCTGTATAGAAATGACTAATCACAGTGATTGCTCAATTTCATTTCATGGTTGTGTATGTGGACATTGACAAGAATTCATCTCATTCTGAACCATCTAATTCATTTACATTGAAAGACAGAAAAACTTTGTACTCAGCATTCTCTTCAAAGAGTAACCCAACAGAGATGATGAAGTTTCTGATACAGAACCATTCACCCCAACACCTCCATAATTATCATTCCCACGATCATTCTCGCTAATCTCATAATTTGGAGTACCAATCACAATCTCAAGCACAGTGTCATCATCACCACCATCATCCTCATCAAAGGAACCCAATTGAGAATTGTTGTGAACAACACCACCCATCACAATAGGAGCTCTACAAATTGGACAATTGCAATGCGAACTCAACCACATGTCAATGCACTCCACGTGAAAAGCATGGCCACACTTGGGTAAGCTCCTTCCAATCTCGCCCTCCTCAATAGCGCTCAAACAAATCACGCATTCCAATTCCTCTGCTTCTGCTTCTGTTGTTTCATATACAAACATGGGAATCGCCGAAACTATCGCCGAGTCGAGTCCTTTGGTCGAAATGGGTGAGTTTTCTATGTTGATGTTGTGGAAGTTGGAAGGCCCGAGGAAGCCTGATATGCTCACCGGAGTTCGCCGGTGGCGAGCCTGTGACTGTGACTGGACCTGAGCTAAGAACCACTTGGCATACACGTGGAGTAGAAGGACGAAGAGGATGACTAGGATCAGGGAAACGATGGCTGCAAGCATGATGTTGCCGTTGTCGGAGAACATGTTCTCAGCGAGTTGACTCAGTGGGTTAGTGGACTCGTTGGGTGAATCGGATTGGCTTAGCATTGTGAGGGAAGTGTAATTTGCTTGAATTGGGGAAAATGGGTAGAATCTATTTGCAGAAAAGGTTTGAACTTGGAAGGGTTTTAGGAAGATGATTCAGATACCCAAGAACACCCATTTTGTGCAATGGAGAATCTTGTTTTCTTCTGCTTGTTTCGGTTACTTTTGCTACTTCTTGTTGTGTGTGTGTGAAAACGTTAACGTGGAAATGAAGGGAATGTAAAATTGGGGGGTGTTGCTGGCTCTTGCATATAATGTGTATTTGCATGTGATGGTTGGCAAACACTAAGATTTTGTCATGGATTCTATAGTGTAAAGGACCTGAGGGTGATAGGTACTATTGAAGTCAGAGGAGAATCCCTGTATCCAAGGGGTTTATGGGAACTCATGCATGGGGATAAAGGGAAGAGGGGGGCAGAAATGAAGCACTCGTGAAGGCAACGGCAGTGGAGTGAAGGGTAGGTGAGTTTTATTGGATTCATGTGAAGGGTTTTCATTTGTTTATAAATGGTTTTTAATTAGTTAAATATGGTGCAGTTGGGGAAAAGGATCCTAAGGCAAAAGACTTGTGACTCGTGACCGAGAAATAAGAAATTCTCGGTCTTGCAAATTACACCAACAAAGGCAAAGTCAATCATGAAAAGGGTGGCACCCCTCCATAATTTCTACACTTTCACATTACTCATCATCTTTTTCTGGGACTTTCATGCATTTATTTAAACTTTGTCAATATTAGAGTGGGTGTTCTAATTTATTTTGCTAGGTGGGGTAGAGGAGGATGGGTCCCCCAATTCCTGTTTTAATGGGGTTCAGGGGTCCCATATGAATGGAACCAGACAATATAAGGGTTTTTTTTTTTTTTATTTGACCACCCTACTACAGCCACCCTGATAGCAGTAATTGATTTTTGCATAGATTCCACCATATTTTGCTGCATGTTTCCGGCCATGGATTCGCTTTTCAGTGTTTAGAGTGGGCATAGCGTATAGTATAGGCTCGTGCACCCTGACGTACCCAGAATGGTGTCAAAAGGGCCTGTTCCATACGCTCATCATAATTCATACAGTTTTTTTCTTTTTTTGGAGTTGGAAATCATTACGCATGTTTTCTTTTTTCCTAAAAAGAATACTTTGGTTTTCCTTTATTGGATCACTCCACAACAAATCAATTGATTTGACATTTCGTACAATTAATGATCCTCATATATACTATAAATGCCTATCTTTTTTCTATGAGAAGTGTCACTAATATAGAAATTTGCATTAAAAAAGGAAACTTTATTTTGAGTTTTTTTTCTTTGATTTTTTAATGGTCCGCAAATGCGGATACCCGTCAGGATCATCTTTCAACTTTGCAATGGATTTGCGAAATTGAATCACACAACACCTAGGATATGTTTGAGTGGAAAATGGAAAGAGAGGGAAGTAAAGAGGATGGGAAGTTGTGTAATAAGTTGCATTATTTTATTTTGATGTTTCAAATTCTTCATATTGGAAACTAAAGAATGCTCATGAAAATGAATAAAGTAACTTTTAGAGGATACCAATTTACATGATATTTCATCACTTTTTTTTCCTCATTGTAAAAAAATTAATCTAAACAATGATAAAGTTCAGTTAAAAATATCTCCTTCCCCTCTCTTTTCTCTCCTCTTCACCTTTTCATTTCAGTCCATTAGTTTGTATCTTTTCTCTTGGACACCTGTAACTCCCAAGTGTATCTCTATTATCGTATGCAGGGGCACCTGTAAATAAACAAAGCTCACATTAGAAATCTTGTGCAAATTCATGATTCATTAAAACGTTTCTCAAAATGCTATGGTGATTCTATAAATTTTGTTAACACCAAAATAGCTATATTTCAGTTTAGTCTTAATTCTTAAATATTTGTGCCGTGAAACTGGATCAGACTTTTGCATCAACTCTATCTTCCATATTAGAGTAAGAATTCAGCTAAAATATGAATCTACATAATACCTCCATATGTGGAATTTCTTTCAAAGGTCTGTCAGTAAAATAAGCATATAATGCCCTCAAAACTGCCTGCAATGAGAAAAGCATTGAAGAAACTCAAGGATTAAGACCAGTCAACCATAGGGCCTACATAAGCGCAAGTTTACATTAAAAGTCATATGTAAAACCTGGTGAGATATCACAACAACAGGTGCTCGTTGTCGCTCAAGCTCAATAATTACAGGCTCTAACCTGCATCATTTAATAAAACTGAAGTTATTTATATCAATCAAGGAGTAGTTAGGAGCTCAATAATGTTAAAATATGCAATGCATCAACCTTTGAATAACATCCAAGTAAGACTCTCCACGTGGATAACGATACCTAAGCTTGTCCTTTTTGCGGGATCTGCAATAAAAGAAAAGCAAAAATAAAATAAAATAACTGCAGGTAGTTAAACTTTTTTAAACAGCATTGTGCTCCCATCATGCACTTGCTTTTTATGACCAGTTGCATTCAACTTGCAAATGAAAGAGATTACAAGTTTGCGACATACTCATACTCCTCTGGCATGTTGTTCTTGATTTCTTCATATGTCATCCCATCACAAACCCCAGCATTTATCTCATCAAGTGCGCGCCATTGTATCTAACATATACAGATAGCAAGTACACAAACACCATTAATGTGTAATTTTGTCAACCCAAATCTCCTGACTTAAGGATGACACTAACCTTAGGAAATCCAACAATTGGACCTGCTGTCAGAATTGTTCGCTGCAGTGTACTAGTCCATATCTAGATACCCATTACAAACATCACAAGCCATTCATTATTTCAGAAGTCGCACATATTATTATACACGCACAGATCCACTTAGCTGATGTGAGAACTCATTCACCATTAAATTGATATAACTTCAACAAAAGCCTACACATAAAATGAATGCGTTTTTTCTTTTGGTAGTGTCAGATATACAAACTCAAGAAAAGCCAGAATGTTACTTTGTAAATCATGTTTTATTTCTTGCCCAAGAGGCTTAACTTGCTTGGCAGGACATCTGCTCAACAACGTATAACTATTGCCTTCCCTTCAACTTCAATGCTAAAACTACACAGTTCAGAATCCCCCACCCCCACCTTCCTCCACAACACAAATACTTAACCAGACCAACTAAAAGTTACTTACATAACAATGTCAATGACTGACTAACATATAACTACCAGTTTTTCATCATGATTAAAAAATCACTCCTCGTTTAACCCGATTAGCGAGTGTAGGGTAGAGGAAATCCTTGTACGCAGCTTTACCCTTGCATAATTGCAGAGAGGCTATTTCCTGAATTTGAACCCATGACCTTTCAGTCATGAAGGAACAGTTTTACCACTGCTCTGGTTCGCCCCTTTTTAGTTTTTCATCATGATTAAGTGATATAAGATCTTTATTATTGATACTAGATCACAGTTCAACATAAATATTATATGTAGCTATAGCAAACTAGGCAATATCTGTAGAAGGAATATGGCATTCAAGCATCAACTTCTCATAAGCATTGGGTTCCAAGGGAAAAAACAAAAATTGAATATAGACATTTGGAAAAGCTTACACAAGCAGCTCGTTCTGATTTGAGACGTTTTTCTACAAATTTGGCAAGCTTCTTTTTATAAAGTTCTCCAGTCTCACTGTTGAAACAAATTGCATTGTGGCCTGGTTAGTCAGCTAAAATTTCATAGCAATTCTTGTTAAGAAACCATATCTCACTCAAAAGAAGAGAGTAAGGCTGAGATTTGAGAACATGAATTGTCTCCTCACCCCTACCCTCGCTAGTCGGGGTTTAATGGGGAATGTTTTTCAATTGTTCGTCTTTTAAGCAAAACAGCAACAGAATTCTGATTTTCATTCATAGAACTACCTTTTTGTCAGCCTAAGTCCTTATCAATTTTAACATTACTACATCGAATAGTGACAGAAGCCATTTATGACAATATACCTTAATGGAGGATCTCCTCCAATTCTTCCTCTAACATTATCCTGACTTTCTCCATGCCGCGTAAGTAATATTGGGCGTGGTGTAAGATGTGTATTAAGCTGCAAGAAAATAATAAGTTGTTCTTCAGAAACTTACAACCGATATGAAGTAGCATTGCTGGATGTGCACCATTAATCTTCTAGCAAAAGCCATTATCTCAGGAAGTCAAACAAAAAAAAAACTTTTGTACCTTAACTTATTTTCATATTTTGTTTTTGTTGTTTAAGTTTTCCTTTTTTTAAATTCATCCTTTATGTTTTGAAATATCATCAATGTTTCTCTGTCAGACTCCATAAAATCCACTAACTGAACTTATGTGGTTTAAAGTCGAAAACTTGATTAAAATCACCAAGTCTAAAGCATACTTTTTGCCCCTTAACTTATTCTTGAATTTCATTTTTTTCATATAAGTTTTATTTGTTCTAAAATCATCATAGATTTTTTGAATGTTGTTAATTTCTTTCTGTTATAACTCCGTCAAATTTACTACAAGAACATGCTTAAGTAAGCATCAGACATGGAAAGCTTAGCTAACTTAACCATCGGAGAGAAAAAAAGAATTTTTGGATCACTATGAAAAGCTTATCGCTACACGAAATAATGTAAAGAACCAATTCAACCTAAAAGCTTAAGCTGTTAGGTGAAGCTACATTAATGATTTTTATATAACTCTAACACGCCCCCTCACACGAGAGCCCATTGGGCTTGAAAGGTGGATGATGCATCAAGCCCAGCTTACCCGTACTAAGAAACTCCACAAGAGATATTAATTAAATGAGGAATGGTGAGGATCGATCTCGTGACACCGAGGCTCTGATATCATGTAAAAAACCAATTCAACCCAAAAGCTTAAGCTGTTGGGTGAGGTTACATTAATGGTTTTTATATAACTCTAACAAATAATGACCAAAATATCAACTGAATCATTAGACTTGCAAAGGTTCCCACAGTTTCTGCTTGCCAGAAGTTCTAAGGGACATGCCTTTTCCACAAAAACGTAAGTTTAATTATGCATTTCATTGTATGAAGCCAGCCATACCAATTATATGATGCAATATGTGAGTTACTAGGGAACTTGTTGAGATATATAAAATCATTAATGTAACCTCACCTAATAGCTTAAGCTTTTGGGTTGAATTAGGTCTTTACATGGTATCAGAGCCTCGGTATCCCGGGTTCGATCCTTACCACCCCCCATTTTCTTTCTAGTGGAAATTCTTTCTTCGCACAGGTAGGTGGGTCTGTGCATTATCCACCTTTCAAGTCCAGTGGGCTCTCGTGTGAGGGGGCGTGTTGAGATATATAAAATCATTAATGTAACCTCACCCAATAGCTTAAGCTTTTGGGTTGAATTGGTTCTTTACAGAACTTCTCTATCTCCAAAGGATAAAAGATCACAGTGACAGCTAATTTAAACTAATTTTCTTGTTAGAGATATAAAACCATTCATATGCTTTCACCCAACATCAATATTGGAAAGGAGGGAGAGGTTGATGAGAATACAAACCATTGAATCACAGCAATTTGGATGAAATGACGCAATACATCCGGATTTTTGTGTGATCAAAAAATCTCTATGAGACTAAAGGAAATTTTTTAAAGAATAATAGTAAAGCGAGCAATGTCGGAGTGGAATGTTGACCAGCACATAAACAACATGAGCATAAAATTTGGAGTAACGAGTAGTAGTAAAATTAGACTTAATAGAGTAGGAAGTAGATTGACATACAATTTGTCTTAGGATGGACTGGAGGAAAGCTATTAGCATTGTGAAGGCATAGACTCGTTATTTTTTATGTGCCAGACGACCGTTTTAGTCCTTTTTCCCTACATTTATTTATTTATTTAATTTCTTCCTCTTTTTTATTTTTCTTTTCCTTCAATCTTTTCTTACTTTTTATTTGGGTTCATCGACCTCCAACCCCAATTAGTTTTGGATAAGTGTGATGTGGATGTTGATGTTGATGTTGATGCTTTCATCCAACAACTTAAGCTTTTAGGATAGTTGGTTTATGACAAAAGTCATTCATGTACCTTGACTTAATAGCTTAAGCATTTGGTAGGTGGTACATGACATGGTACTACAGGGCTCTTATCTTTCCCGCCTCATATTTTTCAAAAAAAAGAAAAAAGAAAAAAGAAAAAAAGAAAAAGTTGAATGCTAGCACAAGTCATGAGGTAATTGGGCTTATACCTTATTAATACTTCAAGCCCAAAAGGCTTTTGCTTTAGGGGTGTGTTAGAGATATGAAACCATTCATGTGTTTTCACTTAATAGTTAAACTTTTTGAATAATTGGTCTATGACATTTCTCAATAGTGGCAAATTGGGTCACATTTTATTAATTAACGAAATCAAATGTTTTGCTTGCCTCTGTGTGTGAAGCTTTGACTGTAATTAAGTGATTAACCACATTCTTCAAAGATACTTACCAAGAAAAAGACAATTCGGCCAGGTAGGTAGCCACTGATATTTTTCACCTAAACGAAAAGATAGAGGCTGTGAATAATTGACAAATTAAAGTCACACCATAGACCATATTTCTAAATGGCTAGAGAAAAACTAATGGAGATGCACACATATTTGCAACAAGAAATACCATAGTATCAAAGCAGCCTCCCATAAAAATTTTCAAACAACAGAATTATTTTAACATCACCTTGCTTAAACATGGTCAGACAGATTATTATCATAAAGTATACAGGTGTGGAACATTTTGGTCGTCCTTTAAAGTTCCAACCAAGCAATACCAACACATAGTATAATTTTATTCACTATACAGTTTATAACTCAACCAAGAGGGTAAGGGTTCAATTCTTGTCTTAGTTCCTAACTCTGTCTGATTCTGATCATGAATTTGTTACCTACCAACAAAATTTAGAGCTGACTTAAGAGTTTTTCTAACTTATCTGTTTCATAGTATGCAGTATATAATTCTGATACTGGTAAGTGATCTGTATAAACATAATGCTTTCATATAGTAGTAATATGCTTTCTAATACTGATTCTTTGTAGAACAAAAACACCTTGAATTTTATACTTTCAGTGAACCATGCAACAAATGATTAAGCCAGGTACAAAAGTGGAGTCAAGAACACAATAGTTATAAGTTATTTAAAGTTAGAGATTAAAGTAAAACAATGCTATTTAAGTTCCCTACACCCATCTAGTTTAACTAATAGAATATATTAAAAATTTTACTAACCCAAACTACAGCTACCATATGGACAACGCACAACAGACATGCATATCAAATTTGTGATACTAGCTAGCCAAAGAATGAGCTAAGTAAAAAGGCTATACTCAACACATAAAGATGACATAAATAAATGTAAAACTTACTTGTATTTGGCCACCATTTCCACTGGCCATATCAATCATTTTTATGTAAGATCCTTCTTCTACTGTCTCATAAACCTGGTAATATGAAACCAACATTATTTAAAGCAAAAGCTCACCTAGAACAGTCAGTAGAAGTACATATAAAGACTTGCCTTCTCATAATTGGCTACACGATTTTTAAAGTCTCGCAACCCAGCCTCAAAATCTGGCCTGCAAAAGAAAGCTAATTGCATATATATCCACGCAGTCAACAAGATAAGATGTCACTGGTTTTAAAGGAAACATTACACTTCTGCATAGTCTGGACTTTGCTGAATCTTAAAACGTATATTTCTTTCAATTATTTCTACATCATTGCATATTGTTTCCAGAAAGATAATCTGTAATAAAAACGCAAAGATGCATCAGAAGAGTTCAAAATCAAAAATAAAATTTTCATATCATATACATAACAGTGCCAAATTGCCAATCTGTGACTACAGTACCTTGCATCTTCCTTCAGCCAATTTCATCAGCATGTTTCTTCTCTGCTTGCTACTGTTTGTGGCATCAAATATCCCAACCTAAATCCAAATTAAAACTTATGCAAAAGAACTTGAAAGAAGGCGGCATTAAAGTAACAGAGTTATTCAACGAGGATGAATTTACCTGGCCACCTTTTTGCATCCAAGATATCATATCTTCAAATGTCAGCCTTGCTACCTAATGGTACATATACATTATATATTAAAACAATGTAAGCAGAGAAGGTCAACATGATGTTAACATTACCAGAATCGACCATGACAGCAAAATATTATAATTTAGAAGCAGCATCATATTGAAGGGTAACGTAGCCTTAACTGGTATCTATGTCTGTAATTGGAAGCCACCTATTCCTAGGGTGTAAGCTAGGTGGGGCTGTAGAGAATTAGGCCCTAAGCAAGCCAAGGTAATGTGAATCACACTTGGCGGGAAACCTTTTACAACTTCGGGGGAGAAGAGATATAAGAGAGGAGATAGGGCCAGATTGCATCTGGGACAACTGTCAACAAGTTACTTGGACAAAATTTGACTAGGACATTCAGCATCTGGGACAAAGATTAATGGGGCTGCATTTGGGACAAGGACAAACGGGGCCAGACTACAACTTCCAAATCCCCCCCCCCCCCCCCCCCCCCCACCCTTTCTCTTTCAATGATTATATGGCATTGGAAACGAGACAACGATAACAACAATGTGGATAGGAGTTGGCACCAAAAGAAACAACAACAAACAAGAGGAAGCAAGGGGCTACATTCAAGATTGAACACCCAAAGCACACTCTGCACGAAGCTTATTTTGCTAGATAACAAGAAAGATCCTTGGATGCGAATGTGCTTTTAATTGTTGGATCCACCATTTGTTCCAAACTCTCACAATCATGAAGCTTGGATGAAAATCAAGTTTTGGCTTTATTGTTCATCAGTGGTCTCAAAAGAGCCAAGCCACAGTCAGTCAGTCACAAACACAAGGCATCAGATTTTCATCCAATGGAATATTGGCAGCCTTCAAGTTATCGTGGGAAACAGGAGGGGAGAACAGGGAATGCAAATAATCTAGAACCTGAGCAATACCTAGAGCAATCTGGAGATGGATGGCCCACGATAAAAGTTTGTATGCTTCACTATGAAGAACTTAGTCTAGAGTAAGATTTCTGACATAATTGTAGACAAGATGTTATCTGTGCTCCAAACAGTAACCTTTAAGTGCAAAAATACTGGGGTGCTTCAGACAGGAGGCAATACAAACGTCATCTAAGAACTTTTCCTCTTCAGTGAAAGACAAGCTCGCCATGTTGATATTTTTCACAGCCAAAATAGGAAATTCAGCTCTGTAAACAAGGCCAAGAGATCAGTCTCCAAGAAGGTTGTCTTCATTGAAGCTATTTGCAACCAACTGAACCTCAGGTGCTGAATAAACCTTCATCCCTTTAATGAATTTGTCTTTTTCGGAAAAACTTCTTGACATTTCCCGTTCTTTTATGGTTCTGGGAAGGTAACCGCCTTGGACCCAAAAGGGATGCAACATTGAAAGGTGGGATCTGCAATCTCTCATCTAGTGTTGTAGTAGAGACCTGTTCTGCTGCACTATTGGAAAAACCTCTCAAGTTGAAATTTTGCTAAAAAGATACAAGAGAACACAAAACTTTATAGACATCAGAGGATGTGGCAAACGTTGAAAATGCACAGCTACCAAATGGAGTTGAACTGTGCCAGTGAGAATAGATCTGAGAACAGAAACACATGGCGAACACCATAAGACTCGCGATGGCCAAAAAGTAGAGGGGTCACACAGCCATCTGTGGCTAAAAGTTGGAATGAGAGAACCGGAAGAGGGGCTGACAACAAACAGATCCACAGATGACGAGTTCAGCGGTGTAGATAGTGGCAGAATGTACTCAAAAGATCAAGAGTTGAAGTGGAATATTGAGCCATGGTATCCACCACTTTTGAACTTAGTTGACTAAAACAACTACATAATTCGGAAAGATCATGCAAATGACACTTGTTTATGATAACCGAATTGCATTGCATCTTGCTTCCAATCATGATTTCCATCAGATGTCCAAACACATTTAGGTGGATTGTCATTTTGTCAAAGAAAAAATATAATCCGGAGACAATGACACCTAATTGTCAATTCAAATGATCAATTGGCGAATGTTTTCACCAAATCTTTGAGAGGTCCTCAGATAAGTTATCTTTGTAACAAAATTGAAGTTTGACACATATGACCTATATGCCCCAATTTGAGAGTTTAGGTTTTAGTACAAGTGTCTAGATTCAATACTTCTTTGTATAAGCAACCAATAAACTTTACTCAACATATTGCCTATTTATATCTGTAGAAAATTAGAATTCAAACATGTTTCCGTTTTTATTTCCTATTAATTAGGATTGATTATGATTGATTAGGATTGATTATGATTAATTGTGATTGATTAGAATTGATTGTGATTAGGATTGTGATAGGATTGATTAGTCATCACTTAGTCATTCTTAGCGATTCTTTCTTGTATAAATACTCACTCATGTAATTTATTCAATATCAATATACAAAAACTTCTTTTCAATATGGTATCAGAGCGGGTTCGTTCCTACCCTAATTCAAATCTGAAATAACCATCCAAACACTTCCATCACCGTCAAACACCTCCTAAACACCGCCTTGAATCTGTCCAACACAGAAACCTAGTTTACTGACCTCCGATCAAAAAAGTGAGGTGACCATTCGACTCAGAAGGATCCGACGAGTCGACCACCGCTGGACCCATCGCCGTCAGCCGCTGCACGCGCCACCACGCGCCGCCTTCCAGACGTTTTTTTTCCGTCGCGACTTGCACAGACCTTCTCGCCGGCTTCTCCCCTTCCTGTTCCAGAGGTCAGATCAAAAGTTTACAAAACTTGATTTTTCATCAACGGTCAACCCTTCTCTTTTTATTCATGGCTTCCTCAAAACACTTTTTTTATTACCACGAGCAACCTCCTAAGGCCACTAGTCATGTGGTCCAGCAAGGTACAACTTTCCATGTTGATAGTCAAAATCATTGGATCCTTGATTCTGGAGCCTCTGATCATATGACAGGTAATCTTGGCTTGTTTTGTTCATACACTCCATATTCTGAACCTTCTCGGGTCAAGATCGCCGATGGCAGTTTTTCCCAGATTGCGGGACACGGAACCATTAAACTTTCTGAGCTGATTACTTTGACATCGGTTCTTTATGTTCCTTCTCTGACTTGTAATCTCATTTCCATTAGCAAGCTCACCTCTGAGTTGCATTGCTTTGCTAAATTCTTTCCACATGGTTGTGTTTTTCAGGAACAGGACTCGGAGAGGATGATTGGCAGTGCTAGAGAGGATGGTGGACTTTACTACTTTGAGGAGGATGTGACTCATGAAGCTGTTTTCGTAGAAAAAAACTCTATGTTTCCTTTTGATTCATGTAATGATGTTATGCTGTGGCATCGTAGGCTAGGCCATCCAAATTTTATTTATCTTCAGAAGTTGTTGCCAAACTTATTTATTAATAAAAGTCCAAGTTTGTTTTCTTGTGATATTTGTCAACTTGCCAAGCATACTCGTGCTCATTATCCTTCTAAAGTTCACCATGACTCTTCCCCATTTTCCTTAATTCATAGCGACATATGGGGTCCAGCCCGTGTTAAAAATATTTCAGGCACTCGATGGTTTATTACCTTCATTGATGACCATTCTCGAGTTTGTTGGGTGTATCTTCTAAAGGATAAGTCCGATGCTGCATCCGTGTTTAAAAAATTTCATGCCATGGTTCAAACCCAATTCCAAGTTGCTATACAAATTCTTCGTACAGATAATGGCAAAGAGTATTTTAACTCTATTCTTGGAGAATATCTTTCCCAACATGGCATCCTTCACCAAAGCTCGTGTCCTGACACACCCCAACAAAACGGAGTTGCGGAAAGAAAAAACCGACATCTCCTTGAAGTTGCTCGGGCTCTTATGTTTACCACGAGTGTTCCTAAATATCTTTGGGGAGAGGCAGTTCTCACTGCCTCGTATCTGATAAATCGAATGCCATCTCGCATTCTGAAATTTCAGTCTCCTCTTTCTAGTCTTGTTCGTATCTTCCCTTCCTTCCGAGGTGTCTCCTCCTTACCTCTCAAGTTATTTGGTTGTGTTGTATTTGTCCATATTCCCTCCCATCAACGGTCTAAGCTTGATCCTAAGTCTCTCCAGTGTGTCTTTATTGGTTATTCTCCTACTCAACGTGGCTATAAGTGTTATTCACCCTCTCTTCGTAAGGTCTTTGTCTCTATGGATGTCACTTTTTCTGAGAATGACCATTTCTTCCCCTCGACTTCTCTTCAGGGGGAGTCTATAGGAGTAGATGAAGATCAGTCATGGGAACCTATTAATGCCACAGTATTACCTCTACTTTTGGAAACGAGGGGAGCTACAGAATCCTCACCATCAGGAGCCTCCTCAAAATGGGGACAAGTTTATAGCAGGCGAAAGCCTCCTCAAAGTGTGAATAACCCAGAGCCTCTACACTGCCAGGATTCTGAACCATGTTCTAGTTCCAGCACCCCAATACTTGAGTGTCATGGTGAAAATGATCTACACTTGCCCATTGCTCTCAGAAAAGGTACTCGATCTTGTACTACTCATCCTATTTCTAATCATATTTCATATGGAAAGTTGTCCCCAGGGTTTCGTGCTTTCAATACTATGTTGGATAGTACAAAGATACCGAGAAATATACATGAGGCTCTCAATGATAAAAAATGGAGGGATGCTGTCTTTGAAGAAATGAATGCTTTAGAAAGAAATGGAACTTGGGAGATAGTGACCCTACCCAAAGGAAAAAAGGAAGTAGGATGCAAATGGGTGTTTACAATAAAATTCAATGCAGATAATAGCATCAACAGATACAAGGCAAGATTGGTTGCAAAGGGTTTCACTCAGACTCATGGGATAGATTATCATGAGACTTTTGCTCCGGTTGCTAAAGTCAATACCATCCGAGTTCTCTTATCTCTTGCTGCCAATCTAGATTGGCCTCTGCAACAGTTAGATGTGAAGAATGCATTCCTAAATGGTGACTTACATGAAGAAGTCTATATGGATCCTCCACCTGGTTTTGAAAAGGGAAATGGATCAGTGTGTAAACTAAAAAAGTCTCTATATGGATTGAAACAGTCTCCCAGAGAATGGTTCGACAAATTCACACAAGCAGTCAAAAGAAGAGGCTTAATTCAAGCACAGACTGATCATACTCTCTTCCACAAACACTCTAAGGATGGTAAAATTGCTATTCTTATTGTATATGTAGATGATATAATTCTTACAGGTGATGATATTGAGGAATTGAACACCTTGAAGAAATTTCTAGCAGCTCAATTTGAACTCAAAGACCTTGGCACTCTCAAATATTTCCTTGGTATGGAAGTTGCTAGGAGCAAAACAGGCATCACTCTAACACAAAAGAAATATGTTCTAGATCTTTTGTTGGAAACAGGAATGTTAGGGTGTAAACCTGCTAAGACACCTGTGGAACCTAATACCAAGTTAGGTATTGAAGATGGGAATGAGGTGGATAAAGAACAATATCAGCGATTGGTTGGTAAACTAATCTACTTATCTCATACGCGTCCTGACATTGCCTTTGCGGTGAGTATGATTAGTCAATTCATGCACTCACCCAAGGAGAAGCATCTTAGTGCAGTCTATAGGGTGCTTAGATACCTCAAGAATACTCCAGGAAGAGGATTATTCTTTAAAAAGGGGTATAAAAGGACAATTGAAATCTACACTGATGCAGATTGGGCAGGCTCATCAGTAGACAGAAGATCTACCTCAGGCTATTGCACCTATGTGTGGGGAAATCTTGTTACTTGGAGAAGCAAAAAGCAAACAGTGGTTGCAAGAAGTAGTGCTGAAGCAGAATTTCGAGCTTTAGCTCATGGAGTTTGTGAAGGAATCTGGTTGAGAAGACTTCTTCAAGAGTTGAAGATTTCATATTCCCTACCAATAAAACTATATTGTGACAACAAGGCAGCTGTTAGCATTGCTCAAAATCCTGTGCATCATGATCGAACAAAGCACGTGGAAGTTGATCGTCACTTCATCAAAGAAAAATTAGATGATGGAAGTGTGCATTTGATATATGTTCCAACCAAAGAGCAAACGGCAGATGTCCTTACCAAGGGCCTACACCGTCCAGCATTCGAAGACTTGATTGGCAAGTTGGGAATGATCAATATTTACCTCCCAACTTGAGGGGGAGTGTAGAAAATTAGAATTCAAACATGTTTCCGTTTTTATTTCCTATTAATTAGGATTGATTATGATTGATTAGGATTGATTATGATTGATTAGGATTGATTATGATTGATTAGGATTAATTGTGATTGATTAGAATTGATTGTGATTAGGATTGTGATAGGATTGATTAGTCATCGCTTAGTCATTCTTAGCGATTCTTTCTTGTATAAATACTCACTCATGTAATTTATTCAATATCAATATACAAAAACTTCTTTTCAATAATATCAAAATAATTATTGACCAGAAGTTACCTCATTACGTGCTTCCATGCCTTCAGGATTGTCAGCTCGAAAAAAATCAGCAGACTGCATAGAAGAACACATGGACTGAGAATAAGACCAACATTTATGGCAAGAAATCAAGTGCCCCATGATGATCACATGATGTAGCTCAATTTAAAAATTGATGACCTTGCAAAGTACAAGAGATTACATTTAAACATTGATGATGCTACATTTAACAAATTCATTCTTAGGGTCAAGCCCCAGTTCTCTTTGATTGGAATAGAGTTCAACACTAGCCACCTCCCATCTTATTACTATTCAGTGCGTAATAGTTTTAAGTTCAGTACAAGGAAACAGTAACCCGATGCATTCTTCACATTTCCAGCCCAATAGGCTGTAAGTTGAAGAGATGTATTGGAATTATAAAAACATTTTGGTTGCAAAACTTAATAGCATGAGCTTTTGGATCAAGTGGCTCATATGTGGATCCTCATGAGTACCATTTTAATAAGGATGAACAAATTGAATTATTGAGTATTTTCAGCCATGAAAAGTTTTGACAGCTGTTTAAATAACTCATACTGTATTGCAAACATTAGAGAACACCAAAAGCCCAAGCCTCTGGCATCATGCACATAATTTCAACCATTGCCCTTAAGAAATAAAAAAAGTCATGAAAATCAGCAACATATCTAAAATCAATATAAAGTTCACAAGAGCATCAACAACTGTGGACCTTCTCAACACTGTAAATTCCCTTGCCTTTCAAACCAGTATTATTCCTCCCTTCAGATCAATTTTTTTAGAAGAGTGAGCTACAAACCATTTTAGGAACAAAATTCACACCCCTGCACAGTATTCCTTTTGATGATAAAATGTGTCAAATCAAAGTCTTGTGCAAGTAATACTCTTTGATAATCAAATGTATCATATCAAAGCCGTGTGTCAAATATTAAGAGATTGTGTCAAATCTAACAGCTAGGAATGGGGTATGTCTTGGGTGTTGATGTGTGTGGCATTACGTGTCCAGTTGAAAAGACACAATCACAAAGAGTCCATCCCTAGATGTCACTCACTGAACTTAACCAAATATCTTCTTTTTATGTTTTTGACTCCAAGTATTCTCGTCGCATCATCATAATCAACTATGAGAATCCATACCTAGGTGTCACTCATTGAACTTTAGAAAAATAACAATCTTCAGATGAGGAATTCTTACACTGGAATTATTTCTTTCTTTATCTCTACTTCTTTCCTTTATTTCACTTTCTTCCCTCTCTCTTTGTCTTCTCTTATTAATTGATTTTTTTTTTTATCTCTCTATTACTTTTTTCTCTCTCATGTTATTTTCTTTCTTATGTATCTTTATTTTCACTTTATTTTATTTTTTTATTATTATAATTATTATTTTTGTACTTATCATTTGGGTTTACCTGTCACCCATCCCAACTAGTTTGGGATAAAGGTGATGTTGATGTTGTTGACCATATAGTCTGCAGTTTGCACTAACATGAACCATGTCTACTCTTATGATAAACAGTATATACAGTACATCACGCAATAAGGGATATATGAAACAAACATTAAAAAAAGAAAAAGAAAAAAGATGCACAACATATATAGTAATAGTACAGAGAACAAGTTTCTAGACTTATGAGAACTTTTGTGTCAATACAGTCTATAGAATGTAGATAATCAGCAAATGAGAATGCATAAACTATTCCATAGATTCATATACATTAAGTTTACCTGATTAGTTCCATGCTTAAGGCGACGGTACTGCGATATCAAAATGTAAGTGTGTTAACTTCATACTTGACATATTTCCAGTCTGCCATTAGGTACACAAGACTACTGATTGCAAAGAAGAATCAAGTCAAGAATGTGAACAACCTTACCAACATTGAAGTGTTTGGTATCATGGCCTAACCAACGAAGATATCTTGTAAGTTTAGCTGCAGTAAAAGTTTTACCTCGAGCTGGTAGACTCACCTAAATAAAAGAAATTAGTTATAATGATTCATTTTGAAGATATATTCTTTCATTTTGAATCTCAATTAATTTACAATTAAAACTCCAAATTGAAGAAAAAAAAGGTGATAAAAAAGAGTAGCTTAAAAAAGTTAAATGAGTAATTATTCCTTGAGCTAGAATAATACCATGACAATTGCCAAACGTCTATCCTGCTTGGGATCCAGCATCTGATCAGCAATGGCAGCAGCTGCAACAGCTCCAGCAGCTGCTGGAATAGAATTCTATTGGGGGGAGGAGGTAGAAACAACTGTTTGTGAACAACCTCAATTGACAGTTTGACACAATATAAATGCGTCCATTGGAAAAAAAAGAATAATAAACAAGAAATGGAAATCATTTGAACAAACCTCCGTATCAGTATCAAAATTAAGATCCGTAGAGAAAGTACTTGAACTATAAGATTTTATAAGTCTATGAGATCCAACACCCCTATCAACAAAAAGTCCCCTTTCACCATCTTCCTTTTGCAGAAGCGAAATTGTTCCCGCTGACCAAGACTTAACAATTCCAGGACTTTGATTCACCTTAGATGGGTCTGTGGCACTAACTTCCATTTCCTAGTTGGAACATTAACATAGCCTATTAGATGTGATAGATTGCATAATCAAGAATCAACATTACCCATTAGCTTACTTTCTTTTTTCCTCTTAGCCTCAAGTGGCTTTTTGCATTTTGAATATCATATGTACTGCTATTTCTTACTTATACTTGAAAAGGGAGAAGAGATTTCTGAACTACTTGAGGAAATACTCTACATGATTTACAATCTCTGATGTAAGTGTTAGATTATCTAGAAGATATCACATAATATCTTGATTATATCTTAAAACAGTTTAGATGGTTTCTTAGGAACAATTTCATGATTTGTTTCCTTATTTTAGGAATCCCCACTTTAGCATAAATGGGATTATTACTTTGTCTTTTATATCACAACACAGTTCATAACAATACTAAAATCTAATCAAATATGTTGAACACTAAAATCTACTTCCCCATCTAATTGAAGTCTCTAACGTAAGTACAACTACAGATCCATCACAGCTGCTGGTTCTGGTAAAAAATTTCTGAAATGTTGTGAATAAGAACAACAATTTATTAAAATGATGACAGAATGACCCTTGACTGATTTTACAAGCTTTATTTTTTGTACTAGTCACCCATTTAGAAAGTATAATCATAAATTTGAAATGCCGAAATTGAAAGTTAAACCTTTACTGTTGCAGGTTGCTCAATAGGTTCATCACTATCTCTGATGGAATATGAATTGCTGCCAGACCCACTACTAAGTGATTTGGGATTCTCTGTCAAGTTAGCGGCATATGCAAGAGCTGAATTTGCAGAAGTTGAGGGAGCTGGGACAACATAATGCTCAAGATCAAGTTCCAAAATTGCAGAAGAGGCATTCTGAACAAAAAAATTAAAATTAAGCATAAGGTCCATAGTAATGGTTCATAAAAAACTGTTTCATAGACATAGTAATGTAATCATAAGTTGGAATAAGAAAAAAGCGGGAGCACATCAAGGCCACCAGTTAAGATACATAATTGGACAAGTTGCGGTACATGACATAGTAATGTAAGAGACACACAAGCACTTCAATGAGAAACTATTGTGTTTTACCAGACCAATCACTTGATCCTTGACAATAACCATTTTGCACTATCAGATTAGAAAAATACTACGGAACAAACTACAGGTCCATGAAGAGAATGACAGCTAAAATTGGCTTGCATTAAAGAAAAATTCCGAGTACTGATCACTGCCCACACAACTAAACGAGAAATTAATTAACTATTCATTAAAAAAAGGAGAAATTAGTTGTACTATCACATCGACCATGGTTAGAAACTAATTCAATTTGGCACTAAAAGCAGAAATATATTCATTATAACAAAGTTTGCTGTATGATTAGGCATAGGGAAAAGCATATTAAAATTGTAGAACACGAAAAATGAGTAAAACAACTATATGAAATATGCAAGCCACTTGTTTCTATATATTCTAAAGAATGAATATATTTTCCAAGTTTAAGCAGCTGTACACTAATTACAATATGTAACTATCTTAAGACTTGCACAAGAGTAACACTTTGTTCTACAGCTACAAGCAGGGAAGCAAAGTCAAAGGGACATCGGGAATCCCACGTACAGCTGAAAGATGGAAATGCTTCTGATAAGCCCTCCAACTAGCAGCAAGGTCAAAGGGACAAACTCTGCTTGCTTCAACAAATACTCGACACTCAATAACTTGATCATTATCAAGCCTAAACAAAGCAAGCCTTGCACCATCTTGCAATGCTCCCCCAGTGACTAGGCGACTTGGACCCTCCTCCACAAAACAAGGTGCATCGATGTACTTGGGCTTTAGGAGGAATTTGAAATCCAAAGCCTCTGAAAATCCCAAACAAAATCAACACATCTGGTTAGAAATGTAGTCTACACCCCCCTTTCATTTCAGTGAGACAATTACCAAAAAGTAAACTTCAAAAAAACCTTAATATCATAATCCCTGCTAGTGGTGAAGTCAATAAAGCTATTTCTCAATGCTAAGAACAACACTACGCATTTTTTTTTCTTCTTAAAAAACATTTTTACCTGTTTCTTTACCTCTGAAACTCAAGACATTATTATGTAATGTTTTACATAAATTTTACAACTTAAAAAGGCAAAGCAAACATAAAGCAAGTAAGAAAGCATTACCATGATTAGGCGGAACAACAAAGCTCAACTCCCACATTGAAGAAGATTCTCGTTCCATGGAAAGCTAAAAAATTTGCACGAAAAACAATAATAAGAATAAGAACTAATAAGAAGGACCCAGAATGATAGGAATGAAATGATGAAGTGGGTATGAATAAAAATTACAGCTTTGGAAGGATCCCAGGAAGAACCAAGAGGGGAGGAGCCATAGACGTGAGGGATGAGGTCCCCAGTGAGAGGAGTGAGGTTATGGTTCTCCATCTTCACCGAAACATAGAGCAATCCCGGGATTGGGAACGTTGTTTCCTCAAAGCTATCTCGCTCCGTCCCCATTTCTTGTGTAACAGTGTGTTTGCAGTTGCAGCAGCAACTGAAATAGAATAGAAGCGTTAATGTTATGAGAACAATGTACGTGCGTAAGAACAATCCTTATCCAAGTGTGTTACTGTTCCTAGTTGTTTGTGTGTGTGTGTGTGATGTAGATAGAGAAAAGAGAGAGAGAGAGAGAGGATAGAAGTGTATTATACTATTATTATCCTAAGACTACGTGTTTGGGATTTTTGAGGATTTTTAAGAAAGAGAGGGCGATAATGTGGGGTTTAGTGCGAGTGAAGCGGATCATTTGGAAAATGTAAACATTTTCATGCAAAAAATGACTTTATTAAAATGAATGAATTGCACTGACCGTTTCACTTCAGGCCACCACCGCCAATCGCCGAATCACTACTAAAGGGTTTTTTTATTGGATAGGGACCTATTGTATTTTTATTTTTATTTTGATAAACCATGTGTATATTTTAATAGAGATAATCTTATTTGGAGTGGGTCAATTTTAAATCTCTTCCAAAAAATAATATTGGAAAAGATCAAACGCATGCCTTCGTTGATGCACTTACAGTTAACCAATTGTACATGGCTCGATCGTTGATTCAAGAAGATCGTAGTCGACTAGAGTTTTTGTCTACTAAGTATGACCAAATTATTGAAAAGATAACAATAATTTGAAATATAACAAATTACAATCAAATTCAAGTCCCAATAAAGCAGCAGATGTGATTATGATTTGTTTGGGAAGAAAAAGAAAGCAACACATTTGACGTGATTTGAGATTAAATATTTGGGACGTATTTTGAATGATTTAATTGTAATTATTTATTTATTTTTAGAATCTAATTACTGTTATATTTATTTTAGGAAGTTTTCTTATTTTTAGAATTTTTAAATTTTTGAATTTTGAATCAATTTGTAATTAGTCTATAAAATAGTGCTTATGACCCTTATTTTAGGAGTGAAATTTTGTTATTTTGGTAACTATAGATGGTTACTCTTATGTGAAATCCTAATTTTCTGTTTAACCACTTTTCTATAAGCTCTCGGCATCATTTGGCATCAGAGCACTAAGTTGCTTTCAACCAATTGTTGGACAGGTGACTTCAATACTCAAAAGGGGGGGTGAATTGAGTTTTACAAAATCTTTTCGCAGAGTACCTCCTTTGATGTTTTAAAGACTATTTCTTCAATAAAGTGATTTAATAAGGAAATGTCTAATTGTAAAAGCAAGTGTAATGATCAACAAAGTAAGCAAGCGTATATATAAAGACAATCTAAGATGCATTTTAATACTTAAATAAAGAGATTAAGGTTAGAGAAATTGCAAACTAGATGTATCCTGGTTCGGTCACCACCACCGTGACCTACGTCCAGACTGAAGCCGCTCGATCAATTCTTTTCACTAACTATCAAGCTTGAGAGTGCTTGACAAACCACTATAACTTTTCAAGACTTCGGGCTCTTGATGCCTTACACTTTTTCACTCCAAATTTTCTTAGGAATTTGGTAACCTCTCAAATATAGGGTTCACTCCCCTCTCAAATCAAGAAGTAATATTGAGGTGATTAGAAGTGGCTAAGTACTCTCAAAGTACAGATTGAACAAATTGAAGAACTAAGAGATGTATAACTTCAAAGGAAAGATGAGCTCAAGTGTATGCAATGATTAAAATGAGTAATTAATGAGCAATAAATGGCTAGCAAGAGTAATAAAGCTTCAATAAATGATCTAGGGTCGTGTATTGTTCATCCCAGCTGATGTGGGTATTTATAATGACACCTCCTAGGAAAACTAGCCGTTTCTAGTCGTTTATAGCCGTTGTAATCCGTACATATCCGGATATTTGTCGGGCACATATCCGGATATTGGATATCTGGATATTCTTGGTTCCATATGCGGATATTGGATATCCGGATATTTCATAACAGCAGCCTTTTTGTACGAGTTCTGAGTTTCTACTTTTTCCAAATGATTTTTATGACGTGTAATGCATGTTATTGGTTATGGAAATTATCTAGAAAAGTTTGTATCACATAGGTACTTCTTCCAAACCAATATTGTACATGTGAAACCATTTGTCTTGACATTTCTTTTAAGGATGCATGCTTTTGAAATATATGATTGATGAATGACCATGAGCTCATGCAATGCTTTGTATCTATACATCTTTACATTTTTATCCTAAGTCCTAAATAAGTATACCATTTGAGATTCTGGACTTGGATTGATGCTTGAGACTTGGTGCATGTTTTCACATTTGCTTTTTGGATATTGCTTCGTCTTTGAATCATTCCTCTTTGTTATCATCAAAACCATGTTGTCGTGGAATCATCAAGTATACGTTGTATCCACATCATCACTTGGATTCATCACCAATGGCTGAACAGAATCATGAAGGTGGACGACGGCGGAGTCACGAAGGTAGGGAACGTGGATTCGTTTATGAAGAATATAGACAACTGCGTCAGATTGACCGCGAGATATAAAAAATGAAGAGCTCAGAAGGCAAATCCAGGATTTAAAGTAACAACTTGAGCAAGCGTTGGACAAATAAAACCAAGTTTTGGAGCGACTATTTGTGTGGGCGCAGAGAAAGAATTCAAGATTTGGAGACGGCTTGCGTGGACAAAGTTGGACATTCAATCCGAAGAAGAAATGGAATTAGATGACGCATAAAGAAGAGGACATCAATCCCTTGGGGATTCTAAACTAGGGACGTAATTGGAAAGCATGACCTGGAAATCAGTCCACTTTTCAAGATATCGGGTTGCAAATCAGGATTCCATAATCCAGTTTATGACGATTATCGGAACTATGATGATTATCCGATTGTTGATAATTATCCCATTTATGATGATTATCCATCTTATGATGAAGATTCAGTTTATGATGATAATCCAGTCTATAATAATTCTGATGGAGAATCAGATTATGAAGATCTAATAGAGGAAGATTTATCATTTGAGTTTTTGTCTAAAAAAATTGAGATAAGTGAAGATAAACAAGATTTGTCTAATACAGTTCGCCCATTGTACATGGCCCAACCATTGATTCAAGAAGCTCGTAGTAGACTAAAAAAAAAGTTGTGGCATAATAAGTATAACCAATTATTGAAAAAGACAATGATTTAAAATATAACAAATTACAATCAAATCCAAGTCCCAATAAAGCAACAGATGTGATTGTGATTTGTTTGGGAAGAAAATAAAAGCAACACAATTGGCGTGATTTGATATTAAAAATTTGGGATGTATTTTGAATGATTTAATTATAATTAATTATTTATTTTTAGAATCTAATTATTGTTATATTTATTTTAGGAATTTTTCTTATTTTTAGGATTTTTAAATTTTTGAATTTTTAATCAATTTTTAATTAGTCTATAAAAAGGTACTTATGACCTTTATTCTAGGAGTGAAATTTTGTTATTTTGTTAATTATAATTGAGAAACAGATGGTTACTCTTTAGTGAAATCCTAACTTTTTGTTTAACCATTTTTCTATGCGCTTTCGGCATCACTCATCCTTACATGTTCAGCTCTCATACGTCAACTACTGAACTATCATCATTTGATGACTATTGTATTTTTATTTTATTTTATTTTTGGTAAAGATGACCTATTGTATTTCTATCCATCTTAGGTACACTCATTTGGAAAAACAAAAAACGAAAATTAAGAGTTTAATTTTGATGTATTTATTGATTGTGTGAAAAAATTTATAAATAAAGCATTATTACATTGTTTAATAAGTTTTATAATTTATGTTATAAAACTTATTAAATAACATTACAACATAACATTTAATGATAATATAAAAATAATTTTATACTACCCGTCTATATAAATTTAATTCAGAAATTAATTAGTAATTCTTAATCTAACAATTAACTATCCAAATATGTTAACAAAAAATAAAAATAACTTTTAAGATAACAGTTTCATTTCAAATAATTAATCGAAACTAAAATGCGCAGAGAGAGTTTGAATTTGACTTGTATTGATAAGCATTCACTTGAACTTATTGTGATATATGGTGATCTTATATTCTTTCTTCATTTTTTTCTTGATAATCAGATCTTATATTCTTTATTTTGAAGAAGAAAGTGCTTCTTATACATAAATTTTTGTTATGCCAAATTATATCAAATAGTTAGTAGCACGTACGTGTAAATATACGAGCTTTTTTTTAGGTTTAATAATGTGTGTTTAATTATTATTTAATTTTTTTTAAAAGTATTATTTTATTTTAGATCGAATGAAAATATTATATATAATAACATATATATATATTTTTGGAAATAAAAGAAAAATTAAACAAAACAACTAAAGATACAATCTGGGCATAGCCACGCCAACAACATCATCCCTCAAAACGGATTCGCAATAATTTGGAGAAGCTGTAAATTCTTGCAAATCCCAACCAAAGGAATGAGCATGACCAGCTAGAGCATCCGCAAGACGATTTCCTTCCCTGTAAACATGAGAAACATGAACAAGTCAGTCATTTTGCATGTAATGACGAATCTGATGAACCAAAGTAGCCAGAGGGTGTTCCTGATTACAGTCTTTGTTGATAAAATCAATAGCGACCACCGAGTATCCTTCCAACCACACTCTACGATAATTTCTTCTCCAAGCTATCTGAAGTCCTAGAAGGCAACCCCAAAGTTCTGCTGTAAGAGAATTACCCCAACCAAAGTATTTTGAGAAGCCAACAATCCAACTTCCAGTATCATCCCTAAGAACACCTCCACACCCATTACGCATTCCTCCCTAATAACATATATTTTATACACGTATTCCATTGCTTTAGTTAGTGAATGAAAGAAGGTCTCTGTGCAAATAAGGAGAAAATGCGTACGTGAAGATAGAGATATAAAGGTTTATTTGTAGTTGGGCCGATTGGTAACTAGGCCACATTATGGGTCCAGTACACAGCCCAAAAAAAGAAAATACGTGTGATTATAAAATAAACAATGTATGTACCTCATTCTTAAAAGTAAAAATTCAAATTT